ATGAGCGCACAGTATCAAGCATCAGAAATGCTGCAGCGTATACATATTTACATTAAATTTATTCTAAATTAAAAATCAAAACGCAGATTTGTCACTACTGAGAACAAAGGGCCTTCTTACCTATAAAAAAGCGTTCCGTTTCTCATCTCTAATAAAACAAAACGCAATATTGTGCTACTTTTTACGCTGTATATTCTGTGAGAGCGTGGTCCTTCAACAGTCAAGTCAACTTATTCGTTTTGCAGCCATAATAAAGGCAAAGCACTATGACGTATAAAAATATGAGTAAAAATATCATTCATTAATTCTTTACGGGGGAGGTTTATGTTTAGACGTGGCTTTTGGTAGGCCGGTATGAAAAAATATCAGAGACCATGAGATATTCCTGTCCTTTTCAATATTTACATTTTACGACATCCACAGTGTAGAATTGATTGAATTTCTTATAGTGTCAACACACGATCCAATGTTGGTTTCATCATTATCATCATTACAACCCTTCACAAGTCCACTGCTGAACATAGGCCTCCCCCAAAGAATGCCACAAAGCACGGTCCTGAGCCACCTGCATTCATCGACTTTCTGTATATCTTACCAGGTCGTCACTCCATCTAGTGAGGGGACGACCTAAACTTCGTCCGCTGGTACGAGGCCGCCATTCGAGAACCTTTTTTTCCCATCGGTTGTCGGTTCTTCGAGCTATATGGCCGGCCCATTGCCACTTCAGCTTACTAATCCGTTGGGCTATGTCGGTCACTCTAGTTCTACTGCGGATATCCTCATTTCTAAGTTTATCACGTAGAGAAACTCCGAGCATAGCCCTCTCCATAGCTCGCTGAGCAACCTTGAGCTTCCTCATCCGGCCAGCAGTGAAGGACCACTTCTCAGTTCCATGGGTAATCACTGGCATCACGCACTGGTTGTACAGTCTCGTTTTCAAGTTTTGAGGTATATCTGTCGAGAAGTTGTGCTGTAATTTCTCAAACAATGCCCAACCGAGTTGAGTTGAACCCCCCATGAAAGTAATGTTGGTTTAGTTAAATCTGTTACAAACAAACGTACTCGTAATATTTTGATCACTGCGTTAAACATGATAAAGGGATTTTTCACAATGAAGAAATTTGGTGAGGACAGTGCTTGTAAGTAGACTTCAAGTGATCAAGTGCCATCGAAATGCTTAATTTCTTAGCTATGGAGGATTCCTCACGATTTTACTTTCACCGACGAACACATGTTAAATCGAGATTTAAAATTTAAATTCCAAATTGCATATTTTGTTATTAACGGCGAGTGCTTATCCTCGGAACTTTTAAGGTTATTTGATAATAGTTGTTAATTTCTTTTAAATTCGAAGCTGATAAAGAAATTAAAATATTGCGTGAATTCCCCTGGTCCCGTTATTTTACATTAACGTTTTAAAAAAGTTTATGTAAAATAAAATTTGCATAAGATTTTTAAAACAAATTCATTTGAGCATGTGTTCTAGATTTAGTATTGGTTTCCGTTTCACTATTCAAATAATGCAGCAAGTGCATGAACAAAGCGCATATATTAAAAAATACTGAACACAAAACTCGTCATTATGATGTTGTTTAGTATATAAGTCGCCTTAGCTTGCTGAATACAATTTTTGTTTGTACCTAGTCAGGTCATAAATTCTGTCACATGTTTAATATAAAATAATTGAAACAAATTTATTCATTATGTAACCATTTATATACCAAAATGAACTTCACAAAACATAGATTCTTATGACACTAAAGTTTATTCAAAATTACCTCCGTGATTTTGAATATAGGCCTTCAATCTGCGCGGCTAGTCGTCTATCGCAGCACAAACGAGGTCCATGTCAATATCGGCGGCTGCCTTAATCAAGGACGTCTTGAGTGACTCCGAATTGGGATGAGGCTTTGAGCACCTTTCCCTCCAAGTGTTGCCATATCTTGTAATCTAACGGATTCAAATCTGGACTGGAGGACGGCCAGTCTTCGTGCCGGATGAAGTCAATTTCACGCGCCGCCAGCCAGCAGTCTTGTGTGCTCTTCGCTCTATGAGCTGGCGCCGAATCTTGTTGGAATACCTAGTGCCTGTTATTGAACATGGTATGAGAAATAGGTTCCGCAAGGTTCGTCAGGACTGTATTTTGATACACAACTGCATTCGTTTTTACACCTTTCTCACAAAAATGTACCTCTGTTAAGCCCCAATAAGAAACTCCCGACCATACCATGAGCGAGGATGGAAAATGACCTCGTTGGACACGCGGAATACGGTTGCTCGCTTCTTCACTACTGTGTGCGTACACCTTATCATTTTGTTTGTTCTAGCTCTCTTCTACGGTAAAATTTTTTTCATCCGAAAAAAGAATTTCCCGATATTTTTTTCCCGCGTACCGCTTCAACAAAGCGCGGCATCTCTTCAGTCTCAGGTCCAATAGACGAGCATTCAAACGATGTCCTCTTTTTCTTCGATATGCCCGAAGCCCTAAGTCTTCATTTAACACCCTTTTCACTGTGGTTCTGCTTAACCCCATCTGAAGGGCCAACAGTTTCTGCTTACGTTTGGGATTTCTTTGAATTCGCGCCTTCACAGCTTTTATCACTGCTGGAGTCCTAACAGACCGAGGGCGACCACTTCTTGACCTATCATCTACACTAGAGTCTTCGTTGTATCGTTTGATGGTACGATAAACGAATCTTTTGGTTATATTCCAATTTTTCAGTATGTCAAAAATTTGAATTGGCGCGTAACCGCAACGATGCAACGCAATAACTGCAACACGGTCTTCTTTAAGCGTCCACTCCATATTTAAAAATGAGTAGAATTCTAAAAAGTATACAGTTTTATTTTCATGAAAAATTCTAAATTCGAATTCGATAGGGTTTAATGAAGGAAAATAGATGAGATTTAAATTTATAGAACTGATATACAATTTTAAACGCATACGTTTAAACGTCAAGTTTATAGAGAGATGGGAGTAAAATTTTATAATTCCATTAAAATCGTTTCTACTCTGAAAATGTTGAGCGGCATTTACTTTAGGTCTCATCATCCAAATAGCTTCACGCGTATGTTTTAATAGTCCTCTCACGGCAGCAATCAAAGTTTATATCACGACGAACGAATTTAATTTTTACGACGAGCTGTAAAGGTTGGGGCCGTGTTGCTATTTTATCATACTAATTGCTTTTACTACTTCGATCTTTAAAATTAACTGTTTTATATATGTCGCAGTAAGATAGTTCAGGCCATGATATAGCTATATCCCTAGGGATCTGGTTCATAAATATCTTGTATATTTATTCTTTGTTCCTCCTGTGCATTCAGTTTGTAATTATAATTATTTTTCTCTAGATTAGTCTAGTAAGACAGTTATGAACTGGTATATAGCTACATCCTTAGGTATGTAGCTATATTCTTAGGGATATCACTATATCACGGCTTCAAGTATATTCCTGCGATATATACATAGACACGTTTGCAAGAAATAGAGATAGAAAAATGCTCCAACCAGTTTTATTTACACGGTAGAAACTTGCTGCTGGTATAATATGGTTAATACGGAAGAGCCATGCTGTACATATATACTCGTTGTGGCACGAATGGGTCGGTTCCATCGGGGAAAGACCACGCTCTCACAGAATACCGGTATGAAATAGTATCAAAATACTGCTGTGTTTCGTATGGTGAGCGTAGAGAACCGGAGACCCGTTTCACTGGAAACGAGGCATTTTATCTTAGTCCTCAGGGGTGACAACGCATTTGCATTTTGATTCTTAATCATGGATTGATGTAGATGTCTATGGGCCACAGTATCCACTTACTATGTGTGCTCGTTTGTCACCCTTACTCTATAAAAATAAATATAATATGCCAGCGTAAGTGAATCCACTACTCCATTTTATCCCATTGGTGTTGTATGAGACGACAAAAGGACACTAAAACAATAGATGGTAACTATCGTCTTTCTAATAATAGGTTACAATCATTTAAAAAAAATTCAGTTTTCTTTCAGGCATTCTATGTGGGAGGCTTATGTTCAGCAGTGGACTTTTAATGGACGAAAATAAATTAATAAAACAATAAATTTAGTGTTTTTTAATTAATTTTAAAATTGCTGTGTAAAAAATAATTTTGACGTGAGTTGGTAGCGTAAGAGAATTCATCACCTTATTTCATCCCGTGGGTGTTATAAGAGGTCCCATTGTTGGGAAATGAAAGAAAATCTTAAAGCTTCCGATATGTGTAATACCATTTCGTTTACAAATAAGGGAGAAGGTTTGACTGACATAAGCTGATGTTGATGATGAAATATAATGACCTAAAATTATTCCTTATAATCACGTGTAATAGGTATTACACATTAAATAAAACTACGAATTTTTATCGTGTTCAATTTTAACCTTTTTAATTCCCGACTTTTTGGGCATTTTACAGCACCCATGTTCACAGGCGCGACTGGGTTGTTTGATGTCCTGATGTCATTATCATCATTACAGTCCATCACAAGTCCATTAGACATAGATGTCTAAGTAATAAAAAAATTCGAGGGTATGTGAATTCCGCTGTAGTGGCTACAGGCGGCGGACTTTTTTTTATAGAAGATGGGGCAAACGAGCATACGGTAATGAGAAATGACGAGAATTTCAGGTCCGTTGCCGGCGTTTAAGAAAGGAGTAAGCTCTTTTCTTGAAGGTTCCTAAATCGTTTCAGTCCGGAAAAATCGCCGGTGGAAAGCTTTTTCACAGAGAGATCGGACGTGAAAGAAAACTCCTAGTGAAACGTACAGTGGTAGACCACCAAGCCTCCAGATGGTGTGGATGGTATCGGGAATTTTGCCGCGATGTGCATTCGTGAAATTTGACTTCTGGGATTGGATCCTGGTTACTTACTTCAAATACTCTCAGAAATTAGAGAAGCCCTGTGCTCAATACCTTTTTTGTTTTATTAAATATGTTTAATAGAAATAAAATTAAAAGACCTTATTTTAATTGTTTCAGCTATTGCTATGAGTGTGGTATCCGGTGAAAAACAATACTTGCGTTTGGAACACCCCAAACATGATAAAAGGTAAGTTTTTTATAGCATAAAGGTAAAAACCTAGCATAAAGCCCACTTGATAGTTAGTAGATGCTGGTATATCTGGGATAGACATCTAGTGTGTTAAGAACCGGAGGCCCACTACTGGAAACATGGCGGCATCTCATCTTAGTACTCAGGAGTGACAACGTTACTGCAATTTGAATCTTCTTCGCAGATAGATGTAGATGTCTATGGGCCAAAGCATCCATTTTGCATCAAGAGTACTGTGTGCTCATTTGTCACCCTTATAAAATACATGAAATTTAAGCCGAGCGTTTTATATTTGTAACATTTATTTCTAAAAATGCTGTCATCATCTTTCGTAATTTAATTAATATTTAATCAAATAAAAAATATCAGAATACAAAAAGGAGAAAAAAGTGGTAATAAAATACGTAGAAACGAGACTAATAACAAAGCAAAGCGACAAGCTTCAAAGAAAATTGGCTTAGTAACGGCAGACAGTTAAATAAAAAGGTGCTTATCAGCTGTTTTGCGAATGGTCTTTCTTTTATTACCTTTTAAATTTTATGGTTTGATGGAAGTAAGGGTGATGACACACAAAATTTAATTTATACAAATATAATAAAATATATTATTGGTATAGATGTAGCCCGAATGGGTCGGCACGACCGGGGAAGGACCACGCTCTCACAGAATACCAGCGTAAAATAGAAGCTTAACGCTGCTGTGTTTTGTATAGTGGTGTAGAGAACCGGAGATCCTTTTTATTGGAAACGAGGCGTTCCATTTAAGTACATACGGATGACAACGCATCTGCATTTTAATTCGTAATCGAGGTTAGATGTAGGTGTCTATGTACCACAGCAACCACTTACCATCAGGAGGACTGTGTGCTCGTTTGTCACTCTTATCTTATATATAAAAAAATAATTTCAACTCCTTGTTTGTGTATTTTTGTATTTGAAGCATATTATCATTCATACATATTAGATTTTATGTATGTTATTTATGTTATTTATGTTATTCTTTATACACATTAATATGACGGTGTGACAGTGTAAAATTATTCACTACCGCATATAATCCCGTCGAATACGTAACATACGACAGATGAAAACAAATCAGGAGATAGGCAGCGTCTTCCTAATAATTACTAAAAAAATAAAAGATAACCTGTGGTTGCCAATACGGCTGCGAAGCGTAACAAAAGTTCTCGCATACTCTCCTTGTCCCCCCATTGAAATTCGCCGTGCAGTGACTACAACAACAGTTTCTTCCTGATAAGGGCTCAAAATAAAAAAAATGCGGTTGCCAACCAGCCTTCCAAGCGTCGAAACTACGGAAGATATCCCTTTTATGTGACAATATATGGGGGAGGCCTATGTTCAGCAGTAGACTTTCGATTGGTTGTCATGGTCAAGGTCACGGATATTTATATAATCATTGATGCATCCGTTAGTAACCGTGTAACTACTTGATCAATTGAGGATACACACGAACAATTTTTTCGTCGAGATGATGGTTTGTAGCTATGCTACGTTTTTTTATAGGAGGTTGGAGCAAACGAGCATGCGGCTCACCAGATGGTAAGTGACTACCGCCACTCATGAGTAACTGCAACACCAGGGGAATTACAAATGCGTTGCCGACTTTTAAAAAATAGTATGCTCTTTTCTTGAAGGTTCCTAAATCGTATCGGTTCGGAAAATCTCTGGTGGTATTCGATTCCACAAAGAAGTTGTGAGAGGAAGGAAAAGTTTTTCTAAATTGCACAGTGGTAGACAAGCAAACATTCAAATGGCATGGATGGTATCGCGAGTTTTGTTGCGATGTTCGATGATCCAAAATATTGCGCTGTACTCAAGTTATCACCTTTATATCTTAGTATACATTACCATTTTTGTAGAGACATTCTGTAGAATTGTAGTACAATGTGTCGGCTCGATAGGAGAAGGACTATGTTCTTACGAAATACCAGCGTTAAATAGCATCTGCTATTTTATTTTATATTATATTATTTATTTTATATTATTTTTATATTATTTTATTTTATTAACCATAATATAGCTGCAGGGTGTCTCTACAAAAATGGTAAACACAGCAGCGTTAAGCGTAACGTTGCCGTGTTTGGTATGGTGAGTGCAGAAAACCGAAAAAAACTTTTTACTGGAAACGAGGTATTCCATCTTAGTCCTCACGGCTGACAACACTATTGCATTTTGATACGTAATCGAAGACAGATGTAGATGTCTACGAGCCATAGCAACCACTTATCTTCAGGCAGACTGAGTGCTCTAGCTAGCACATTAAATCATGTGGCCTTCATTTCAATTTCAGTTAAGATATAGAAAAATACTTAAATTACTTTTATTTACTTTTCCACACGGTGTGTCACGTGTCTTATTATTTTATGATTCAAGTGAACAACATTCAGTAGAGCATTTGATAAGAAATTATACAAATCTTCAACTTTATCCAGTAATGATTATAACGTGGAATTTGACATCAATATTTGAAAACGATCATGATATTATCTTCCGCACTTTTAATAATATCAGGCTTTTGAAGCTTCACAATGTTTTGTCGTCAATATATTAGTTACAGTCTTTATTTTTTTATATAAAATTCAAGGTGAAAATCTAGCATACAATTCATCTAAAGGAAAGTGAACTCTAAGTCTCATAAACACTTAAATCTATTTTTGACTAAGAATAAAAATGCAGAGCACTATGATGGTATGCCTCATTAGTTAACAGTTAAAAGGTAGAGACCGGTTTTCGTCCTCTTTTATATGGAACACTGCAGCATTATGCTGAAGTTCTCGTAAAATTCTGTGAAAGGTCTTTTCCTGGATTAGATAACCTATGTTGCCTTCAAAATAGAATTATGTAGCAGGTTCTACTACATAAATGTATAAAAAAAATCCCTTGATTTTAACATTGTTTCTTGTTTAATCATACTCATAAACTCCTAAACAGTCTACTCCTAATCATCTTTAGGACCAATATCCATTATTCACCAGCCTATCAAGGCCGGTATTCATCTTTAAACATGTAATACTTTATTATCGAAATAGGGCATGAAATAATGAGGGAGTCATTGTGGGGAGGATTTTCGCAGTGTAAGGCGTCTCACATTTTGGTAATGCTTTCCGTTGATTTTATGCCATGATCTAACGAATATAAAATCTGAAATATTCTGGAAGTTGCCTCTTAAGAAATCTACGGATTGAAATCATGAAATCAAACGTTGACATCTCATATTCCGTCACAAAATGGCGTATGCCTCGTATCTTTTTTATATTAATTTATTTATGGTTTTTCGAAACACCACCATCATTAATACGAGAAACATGGATTAGATCGAATAGAAAGTGATGCTCTTTTAAAATATTGTCCATCCGTTTATAAGTACATTTTGTGTTCTTTACATTTTTATTTCCTAATACTTGGTTGGCTGTAATAGCCAGAAAAATCTATTGTCGAAAAAAATATTCAACTCTACCTTTCCTTACACATAAACTAGGAAACTTTTTTAATATTAGAAAATGCCTCGTGTTGTACGAATATTCTAGAACTATAAACCGAAGAAAATAATCATTTATATTGATGTTTGTATATTTTCAGGGACACAATACAGAAAACTACGACCTCATCTGTTGACTATTATAGAAATGTTCCAGCTTCCACACTAGAATTAAAAAATGGTAAGTTAAACTCAATTATCTCATAATATAGGTTTAAAAGCCGTGGTAGCCCTTGGGCTAAGAATAGATCTCTCTTCTTGTATTTCCCGAGTAATCTAGATTCGGTCCAAACTGGCACTATTTTTTTTATAGAATAAGGGAAAAAGTCAGCGCATAATCCACCTGATAGTAAATAGATGCTGTATCGTATAGACATCTTCATATAATCTCGATTGTGAATCAAAATGCAGATGCGTTTTCAGCCATGAACGCTTAGATGGAATACCTCTTTACTATTAAAATGGATCTTTGTTTCTCTACACTCATCATATTGAATACAGCAGAATTATTCCGTTGTTTCGTACGCTGGTATTCATTGCGTGGTCTTACTCCAGTCGAGCCGACCCATTTGTACTGCAACATGGTTGTGTTTAGCTGCAGCGGGGCATTACGAGTTAAATAATAATAATACTGAAATATTACATGCATATTACTACGGAAACTGTATGATGAGAATAAGAAAACTATATGAAGTCTTCCAACGCTCAATTTCTCCATAACCCGCTCAAATATTTAAGGAGATATTGTCGCTTTAAAAAATTGCAATTGGCGTCTGGATAGTAGCAACAACGTACTGTACGTTGTTGCTACTATACAGACACGATTTGCAATTTGCTCAATTACCTCACTGCAGTAGCTCTATGTCAAAGGCATTTATCATCAACAAGGAGGTTATTAAAACCTTGCGAAGTGTATATATGAACAAAGCTAGTGGACCTGATGGTATACCAGTATAGTTCTAAAGGTCTGTGCACCTGAGTTGTTTCCAGTTTTGATGCTATTGTTACGCCTCTCATTCAGGACTAGAATAGTGGCCCAATCTTTTGTGCCTAAATAAGGTAACTGTACCGACCCTACCAACTATCGGCCAATCTCAATTACCTCCATACTCTGAAAGATTATTGAGCGTATATTGAACGCCCACCTCATGATATACCCAGAGCATAATGACCTTCTATGTGACCGCTAGTACGGGATTTACCGAATTTGATCAACTTGGGATCTTCTAGCGTATGCCACTCACATATGGGGCGAAGCCCTCGAGAACAGTGGTAAAGCACTTACTATTGCTGATGTTTCGAAGACTTTTGACAGGGTTTGGCACGCGAGCCTATTGGGCAAGCTTTCTGCCTACGGCTTATGGCCTCACTAACTGGATGAAGGACTATCTGAGTGAAAAATTTCTCCAAATAGTCTTCGGTGGCTGCTCGTCCTGTCCTATCGCTACAAACGCCGGAGTTCCTCAGGGATCCGTTCTCTTCGCAACTCTCTTCCTGCTGATATAAATGATCTGCTCATTTCTGGTATCTATGAGTATGCAGACGACAGCACCATTGTGGAATAGAAAAGAATAAGAACAGAATATTTTCATTCAATATAGATCACATGTGTGGTTCTTATTGAAAGTAATTTTTTACTTTACCACTGGTTCGAAAAAATACCTCTGTCCTGGGAAAAACCAGCAAGAAACCCAGAGGGACATTTTTTAAAGTAAATTTTAAATGGATGATTGTACAACTATTTAAAAAAATATTTTAGAAACAGCTTTGAAGCGACCACCGCATTCCCAGGGGTTATTATCAACCATGTATATTATAATAAACTTTTTATTTATTTATTATAAGCCAGTGCTTGACCACAATCCCACCCGGTGGCAAGTGGTGATGCAGCCTCAGATGGTGAATCGCACTCTTTTTGCGTAACAAAAGCCTATCACTCTTGCCTTGAAGGTGTCCAGATTGTATTCAGACGGAAACATAGACACCGACAAATTGTTCCACTCCTTTGCTGTATGCATTACAAAAGACGATTCTAATGCGTGAAATATTGTACACAAAAGGGTGAAGACTCGCCGACCGCCTGGTTGTCCGATGGTGGAAAAGAAAGGAAGGAATTAAAGCGTATAATTCCTACGCACACTCACTGAAATGCATCCAATAGAATACCGACAGGCTGGCTTCTCTGCGCCTGTGCTCGAGGCTGACAAGATTGGTTTCAATCAAATCAAGGTTACCAATGAGCCCATTAGCACGTCGCTCCACTGAGTCCTCCTGCATTTTGATTCGTAAACGAGGATAAATGTAGATGTGTATGGGCACACTTACCATCAGGTTGACTGTGTGCTCGCTTGTAATCGTTATTCTATATAAAAAAACGAGGAAGTTTGATTTGGTTTAAATGCAATAATATGATTTTTGATTCAGTTTTTTGTTATTAAAAATTAATCAATAATATATTAAAGTTTGAATTTATATTTTCTGTTGAGCTGTACTTGGGGTGGAAAGGCAAAACAACGATCAAAATGGTGACTTCTAACTATCTACCCGTGTAGGGTGGATAAACGAACATGCGTTTCCGAGTATCCACCCTAGGGTGGATTTCTTAGGGTAGATAAACGGAATAACTCCTTACCACCAGGTCAAACAATGGCTTATAATAAATAAAAAAAACGGTAATTTTTTCCGTCTAGGAGTCTACCTAACAGCTCTCTTATCTAATTCTGTAGATGACATCAGTACCTTTACATATTACTTTACATATTCTTTTTCATATTCTTCATTAGCCTCTTGTTGGCCCGCAGATTGATGATATCAGTACTAAGCTTCCCACACTTTTGACGCTCTTTCACGTCGCTGGTCTATGAATTTTACGTCTTGTGTACGCGCTCTTGCGTTTTCCATACTCATCCCAAATGATACTTCATAAAGAATGAGGTAATGGTTACTCTTAGGCAACTTTCACACCACAACTCTTATACTTAGTTTATAAGTTTTTATGATAGCAAAATTAAACCGGCCAGTACTTTATTTTTATTCACAACGCTGCAATTTGCTCCCAAACTTCGTAGGACGGAACGAAAAACCTTTGCAATAGAAAATAAAAAAGAAACTGAGTATTCATTCCGCTTGAAACTTTGGAAGTTCTCTGCAATGCCTAATTCTCCTTTATACCTTTTGATGCAAAGTTGAAATTGGCTCGCATTATTAACTCCGATATAGATTACGGGTCGGGAGCAACTTCGGACCGCAGCGCTCGGAAAGTTTTGAGTGCATTGCCGAGTTAGTCTCCCGTTGGGCTCTCTTGAACTAAACCGGGTGGAAATTGCTTAACGATATAGCCGTTTAATAATAATTTCAAAAGTTTCAAGGGTAATAAAAAAAAATAAAAGTTTGTGTTTGCGTTTATTTTATAAAATTAGTTGGTAATGAATATTGTACCTTGTATTTAATATAACGTCAGCGTATGGTTATTCTGTTAATGGAAGCTAACTTTAAAATAAGGTTCTAGTTATTAATAAGGTTGAAGGTTAAGTAGTTACTCTCAAAGGTTGTTACTCGAAATTTTGTGCTAACATAGAGCCAAAATAGTTTTACTATCTATAAAAAATTAAATGTAATTTTACTCCAAATCTACTACAGTTTCAAAACCCTTTGACCGGATAGAGAGCTATTTTGAAGTAGATACTAAAGAACGTTATTTACTATAGATATGTTTTTCAAAATAAACTAAACTTAAAAAAAAACTTAAATTCGCCCCTATAAGCAAACGTTTAGATATGAGGTTCTCAAAATATTGGTACTTCTAATGTGAAATGCCAATTTATGGCGTGAAAATCTTCGGTACAGTAATACATCTCACACTTACGTTTTCTACGTGGTAGAGCTATGCTGCAGCTATATTATGGTTGTAGCACGAATGGGTCGGCTCGACCGGGGAAGGACCACGCTCTCACAGAAAACCAGCGTAAAATAGCAGCTTAATGCTGCTGTGTTTCGTATGGTAAGTGTAGAGAACCGGAGACCTTTTAACTGGCAAAGAGGCATTCCATCTTAGTCCTCACGGGTGACAACGCATCTGCATCTTGAGTCCTTATTGAGTATAGATGTAGATGTCTATGGGGCACAGTAACCACTTACCATCAGGTGGACTGTGTGCTCGTTTGTCACCCGATCCTATAAAACAAAAAGGTCTGGGCACATATTATTTCTTTAAATTATTTCACAGACGTATAGGTTTTTCTGGGATATTTGTTTTCAACAGCCATGTGGTATATCAGTACACAAAGACAATATAATTAATTTCAGTGGTGTCACTTGAGTTGAAGTCGGCACGGAAAATTTGGGGAATCAAGGAAGTGACACAATATTACTATTTAAAAATGTATTTATTACTTTTTGAAGTATTCTCCGCGAATTTGACACATTTTTCCATACGATGGAACCAATCGTTGAAGCAACCATTCCATTCGGAGGAATTTGGGGTCTCCAAAATGGCCGTTTTGTAGGCGTCCACAGCTTCTTCAGGTGATGATAATCTCTGTCCACACAATTTATTCTTTATTTTATGGAAAGTATAGAAATCATTAGGGCTTAATCGTTGGGGCTGTACGGTGGATGGTCTAATAATTCTATGTTTTCTTGCTCTAAAAACTCTTTTGTTCTGTGTGCGGTGTGAGAACTCGCATTGTCGTGATGGAGGATGATGCGGCGGTTGCAGTTCTCTTTACGGAGTTCAGAAACGACCTGTGGCAAACAAATGCTAGCATACCATTCTGCATTAGCCTTTCTTTGTCTCTCAAGAGGAATAGTCGTAACATGGCCGGTTTTGGAGACAAACGTGGCCACCATTATTTTTTTTGCAACACTCCGTGAACGAACGATTTCTGTTGGCTTTAACTCATTTTCGAACACCCAAACTCGTGACTGGTTTTTTGTTTCGGGTTCGCACGCGTATATCCAGGATTCGTCACCTGATTCGATGTTGTATACAGCATTTGAGGATGCTGCGTGGAATCTTTCGAGAGTTCAAAAATTCAGGCAACTTTAGACATTGGCATGAGTCAAATACAAATAATCTTGCATGAACAATGAGGTGTAAAAAAGTTGTTTTACCGATGGGTACCGCATTCGCTCTGTGAAGAGCAAAAAGCGGCTCGCGTTACTTGGTGCGTCAGAACTCTCGAAAGATTCCACGCAGCATCCTCAAATGCTGTATACAACATCGAATCAGGTGACGAATCCTGGATATACGCGTGCGAACCCGAAACAAAAAACCAGTCACGAGTTTGGGTGTTCGAAAATGAGTTAAAGCCAACAGAAATCGTTCGTTCACGGAGTGTTGCAAAAAAATGGTGGCCACGTTTGTCTCCAAAACCGGCCATGTTACGACTATTCCTCTTGAGCGACAAAGAACGGTTAATGCAGAATGGTATGCTAGCATTTGTTTGCCACAGGTCGTTTCTGAACTCCGTAAAGAGAACTGCAACCGCCGCATCATCCTCCATCACGACAATGCGAGTTCTCACACCGCACACAGAACAAAAGAGTTTTTAGAGCAAGAAAACGAAGAATATATAAGAATTATTAGACCATCCGCCGTACAGCCCCGACCTAAGCCCTTATGATTTCTATACTTTCCCTGTCCACGACAGACACTGACAGAGATTTTCATCACCTGAAGAAGCCTACAAAACGGCCATTTTGGAGACCCTAACTTCCGAATGGAATGGTTGCTGCAATGATTGGTCCTATCGTGTGGAAAAATGTGTCAAATTTCGCGGAGAATATTCCGAAAAGCAATAAATACATTTTTAAATAGTAATTTTGTGTCACTTCCTTGATTCCCGAAATTTTCAGTGTCGACTTCAACTCAAGTGACACCACTGAAATTAATTATATTGTCTTTGTGTACTGATATACCACATGGCTGGTGAAAACAAATATCGCAGGAAAACCTATACGTCTGTGAAATAATGTAAAGAAAGAATATGTGCCCAGAGGTAAGTGTGAGATATAACTTACTGTACCGACGATTATCACGCCATTAATTGGCATATCACATTAGAAATACCAATATTTTGAGAACCTCATATCTAATCGTTTGCTTATAGGGGCGAATTTAAGTTTTTTTTTTAAAGTTTAGTTTATTTTGAAAAACATATCTATAGTAAATAACGTTTTTTAGTATCTACTTTAAAATAGCTCTCTATCCGGTCAGAGGGTTTTGAAACTGTAGTAGATTTGGGGAAAAATTACATTTAATTTTTTATAGATAGTAAAACTATTTTGGCTCTATGTTAGCACAAAATTTCGAGTAACAACCTTTGAGAGTTACTACTTAACCTTCAACCTTATTAATACCTAGAACCTTATTTTAAAGTTAGCTTCCATTAACTGAATAACCATACGCTGACGTTATATTAAATACAAGGTACAGTATTCATTAACAACTAATTTTATAAAATAAACGCAAACACAAACTTTTAAATTACCCTTGAAACTTTTGAAATTATTATTAAACGGCTATATCGTTAAGCAATTTCCACCCGGTTTAGTTTAAGAGAGCCCAACGAGAGACTAACTCGGCAATGCACTCAAAACTTTCCGAGCGCTGCGGTCCGAAGTTGCTCCCGACCCGTAATCTATATCGGAGTTAATAATGCGAGCCAATTTCAACTTTGCATCAAAAGGTATAAAGGAGAATTAGGCATTGCAGAGAACTTCCAAAGTTTCAAGCGGAATGAATACTTAGTTTCTTTTTTATTTTCAATTGCAAAGGTTTTCGTTCCGTCCTACGAAGTTTGTGAGCAAATTGCAGCGTTGTGAATAAAAATAAAGTACTGGCCGGTTTAATTTTTCTATAATAAAAACTTATAAACTAAGTGTAAGAGTTGTGGTGTGAAAGCTGCCTAAGAGTAACCATTACCTCATTCTTTATGAAGTATCATTTGGGATGAGTATGGAAAACGCAAGAGCGCGTACACAAGACGTATAATTCATAGACCAGCGACGTAAAAGAGCGTCAAAAGTGTGGGAAGCTTAGTACTGATATCATCAATCGGCGGGCCAACAGGAGGCTAATGAAGAATATGAAAAAGAATATGTAAAGTAATATGTAAAGGTACTGATGTCATCTACTGAATTAGATAAGAGAGCTGTCCAGGTATACTCCTAGACGGAAAAGATTACCGTCTTTTTATTTATTATAAGCCATTGTTTGACCTGGTGGTAAGGAGTTATTCCGTTTATCCACCCTAAGAAATCCACCCTAGGGTGGATACTCGAAAACGCATGTTCGTTTATCAACCCTACACGGGTAGATAGTTGGAAGTCACTTTTTGATCGTTGTTTTGCCTTTCCACCCCAAGTACAGCTCAACAGAAAATATATTCAAACTTTAATATATTATTAATTTTTAATAACAAAAAACTGAATCAAAAATCATATTATTGCATTTAAACCAAATCAAACTTCCTCGTTTTTTTTTTATATAGAATACCTAACGATTACAAGCGAGCACACAGTCCACCTGATGGTAAGTGTGCCCATAGACATCTACATTTATCCTCGTTTACGAATCAAAATGCAGGAGGACTCAGTGGAGCGACGTGCTAATGGGCTCATTGGTAACTTTGATTTGATTGACACCAATCTTGTCAGCCTCGAGCAAAGGCGCAGAGTAGCCAGCCTCTCGGTATTCTATTGGATGAATTTCAGTGAGTGTGCGCAGTAATTACACGCTTTAATTCCATCCTTTCTTTTCCACCATCGGACAACCAGGTGGTCGGCGAGTCTTCACCCTTTTGTGTACGATATTTCACGCATTAGAATCGTCTTTTGTAATGCATACAGCAAAGGAGTGGAAGAATTTGTCGGTGTCTATGTTTCCGTCCGAATACAATCTGGGCATTTGGTGTCGAATTCCTTATTTTAAAATTCTTTGTTAAAAAAAATTTCCACAGAAAATGTTTGTAGACCTATCCTAAGACTAACATTATTTTAAACAAATTTTTGAAATGAGACTGATTAATTTGCTAAAGTGTCATGGCACCATTCATCAATAGAGATAGTCGGAGAAAAAGTCATGTTCTGAAGTGCATGTACTGATCTGTTTTTTTTCTCTGCTCTGTTTTTTTATAAAACCTACATTCAGTCGAATTTACAGTACATCTGATAGTAAGTGGCTACTACCCATACTACGTGCCCGTGATCACCGGCGAAAAACTTAAAATAATTAAATGTTACAGATATGTTGTATTCTCTGATGACTAAGATGTAATGCCTCACAGCTTGTTATTATACACTTCAAATTGAAAGGCAGCGCACTACTATTCAGCGGCAGAAAGGTGTAGGCGTGTAGTACCTACTCAGTCACTCTTAGGCTGAAGAAGGGTCATACCACCTAGAAAAGAGATGTACCACTCAGTACTAACTTAGGAATTTTTGACTATAAAAAAGACTGGAAAAGTTACTTGAGTCCTATTATTCACTATCATGTTTTGGGAAGATTTTTTTTTATAGGGTAGAGTGACAAACGAGCACATAGACCACCTGATGGTAAGTGGTTACTGTGGCCCATAGACATCTGCATTTATACTCGTTTGCGAATCAAAATGCAGACGCGTTGTCACCCGTGAAGACTAAGATGGAATGCCTCTTTTCCATTAAAAAGGGTCTCCGGTTCTCTGTACTCACCATACGAAACACAGCAGTGTTAAGCTGCTATTTTACGCTGGTATTCTGTGAGAGCGTGGTCCTTCCCCGGTCGAGCCGACCCATTCGTGCTACAACTATACTACTAATATAGCTGCAGCATGGCTCTACCACGTATAAAAATGAATGAATGAATAAAATAAATGCATGAATAAATGAATATAATTAAAATAGTTGGAAAAAAAAAACAAAAAGAAAAAATACTTGCATATTTTTAATTAATTATAATAATCAATAATAAAACTAGTTTTACCAACCAATTCATTAATATTTTTTTTGTTACAGACATTCGTTATGCAGATATACATAATTCGAAAATCCAAAGGTAAGAATGTAGATGCAAAAATTACGTTAAAATTTTATATTAGTTTATTAAAATCTGTTGACGGCAGTAAATCAAGCAAAATAAGAAAATTAAATAGTGTAATTCTGATTTCTGTTACTTAATATATCCCATAAGACATACATATCTACAGTTTCAAAACATGAAATAACAATTCCTAACCACCTGCCAATTACGTTGTCCTTCATATACAACTCACGTCTATCAAATAAGCTCTAACAAATTTTGTCCATTACCCATTGTTTTTGTCATATTTTGTACGATATAGATTTGAGTGTATTTTTCCATATTATTCTATTTGTTTCTTACTGTGTTAATTATTCATGCTTAAGTTTGGTTGTAAATGTATTATGTACCAATGTATACAATTACAATATGGAAGATCTGGAACCCTGTAAGACAGGTTTACCTAGTACAGGGTTCACAGAGCATAGATTGTGTTATGTAATACCTACTCTTTATAAATAAATAAATTAATAAAAACACTTTCGCAAATTAAATTTATTTACATCCTATTTTATACATTTTAACTACTGACTTACAACGTGTGAAGGTAAACATCGTATGGAAACCTGTTTATCTGAGAGAGAACCGGATACCCATTTTAATGGAAAAGAGGCATTCCATCTTAATGCTCACGGGTGACAACGCATCTGCATTTTGATTCGCAGACGAGGATAGATGTAGATGTCTATGGGCCGCAACCATTTACCATCAGGTGGACTGTGTGCTCGTTTGTCACCCTTATCTTATAAAAAAAAAACTCAATTTAAGCCACTGCGCAGTCGATAGGGAAATATTTGCTACGCTTGGCGGACGGGTTGGCAACCATAGTTTTTTTTATTACTTTCAGTTGTTATCAGAGAGATGCTGCAGCTCATCTCCTGTTTCATGTCCCTCCGTCGCCTATATTTCTAAATATTGTAAAATCCCCGTGGTTTTACAGTATTGGTATTATTTTATAATATGGAATAGTGGATATTCTTACACCGCCACTACACGGTGAATAATATATTCTAGTAGTCGCCTAGTGATGAAAATTCGGTCATAATTCAGTAATTTAGTATAAAATAATTAAATAAACTGTTTTTCACTTTCAACCGCATGTTAATATAAAACACGGATATCTAATATAAAAAAAATATAAAATAAACGTTTTTTTTTTTGCCTTGACATACACTTCACACAAGAATGAAAAAGGAAGGTTTGAATTCACTCTGTCAATAAATCTGTGAGTAGTTATTTTTGTCTCTTAACTTTTTAGGATTTTTACTGAAAACCATGCCACTCCCAACATGCCTTACACTAATTTTTGCTAAAACTATAAAACAAAACAATAGTTATTTGTTGGCAACATTTTAAAGGCGACATTCTCTACTCTGTGTGAGTATTTGGCCACAGACTATTAACTGTTTGACATTGGCCTTAGAACTAAGAATATTAACATATATAGTACTTACCTACTCCTTAGAGAAATTACTTAACTTACTCTAAGACATTAGCAATGTAAATGTCAACAAGCGACACAATTTCTCCCAAGTGACAATTATTATGCATTCAACATTGGTAAACAAATTTCATTTTACGTAATGTATTTGTAAAACATACTATATATAAATTTTCTATCTGCACTCCTTCTCCACATAAACTTTAACTATGTTAAATCTTACACTCTTCCGTTCGCAAAATATGCTTAAAAAGGTTGACAAAGTTTTCAAGTATTAACATAAGAGATATTATGTATATCAGTATCATAAATTGAATATCCTTTATACATTATGATGTCTTATTAAACTTTAACTCTCAAACTAAACAACACAAGCCATCTGCAATCTAATTATTCCCCATCTCGTAGGCAAACACCGCAGGCGTAGTTTAACAACGGTTAACTATGCATAAATTAAACTGAGATTAATGAAATTACCACGAAACACGGAGCGGTCATGGCGGCGCATAATGTGAGCGCGATTTGAATTCACTATATTACGTGTTTCATGGGTCATATTCCTTCCATGCAAAAAAGATTTTATGTATTCTTTAATTCATGTAAGTGTACATATTATATTTAACAGTTATTAAATATATTTGTGTCTTAAGATTGCGGAGTTGTATTTAATTATCTAAGAAGGAAAAAAATGAAACTTAAAGTAAAAACTGACAAAACATTGAAGCAAATCCTATTTGATAAAAATATCATTAAATCGATGCTCACTTGACGAAGATATCGCGAAACATAACTACAAAAAAGAAAATAACAGTCGAATGAAGAGCCTCCTTTTTGCATTCAACTAAAAATGCGTGCATAGTAAAATAAAAAATAAAAAAGACATTTTTATTTTGAGTGTGAAAAAGAAATCAGTACAAATGAAATTGCACATATACATTCTCTACACTACAAGTAGGATGCAAAAGAGCCTGCATAATTTGCGCGTATCCTCAAGATCCATTGTTATACTCTGAGAATCTGCAACGCTGATTTGCAGCGCAAACCGTTCACAGTCTTGGATTGATTGTGTTTTATTTTAATTGTATTTACTTATACTCGTTAACATTATAATATACTAGTTTATCGATAAGGTTTTTTTTTATTTAGGCCTTATTTTTTAACGACTCCATGGCGCAGTGGCTAAGCAATGAGATGTAGCGCTAAGGGCCGCGATTCGACTCCCGCACGGAAGAAGCATTTGTATGTCAAAGTTGAATGTTACAGTCTATATCCATCGCACTGCTGGGCTCAGGCCTGCACTCATTCTGAGAGGATTTCAGGGCAAGGAAGTGTCGGTCGCACTGCCCAATTTCGTGTTGGCGAACTTCACATGACTTCCATTTTTTTTTCTTAATTCTCAGACATGCAGGTTTCCTTACGGTGTATTCCTTAGACAATATAATATGGTGAGGCCTTCAGTAGTAAAATGTTATGATGTGTAATAACTATATAACGACTGTGAGAAAGACGGAGTGCTAAAATATTTCCCTCATATGTAACTAATGTTGGTTTTAATGATGGCTAATAACTCAACGATACGCATTGCGAAATTGTAAATTGTTTCTGTGTAAGTATGCTTCAGAGATTTTGGCCGAATGAGAGGAATTTTCTTATAAAATAAGGTAGTAAATAAGCATACGGTCCACCTAATGTTAAGTAAATGTTCTGGCTATAGACATCTACATCTATTCTCGATTAAGAATTTAAATGCATTGTCACCCCTGAGGACTAAGATGGAGTGACTCGTTTCTATTAAAAAGGGGCTCTGGTTTTTACACTCATAATATGAAACACAGCAGGATTTAGCTGCTAGTTTACGCAGGTTTTTGTGAGAGTGTGGTCCATCCCCGTTCGAGTCAACCCATTTGTGCAACAACCATAATATAGTTATAGCATGATGTTTTATCACGTGTAACTTAGTTTTACCAATAGGTAGCCTTAATTTAGAAGAATGTATATTCTGACATATCCCATAAAGGTATCGTAAGAGGCGACACTTACGAAACCCACGGGGTAAAAAGGAGTGATGAATTCCCTTAAGCTACCACCATCACGACAGACTTGTTAACCCTTACCTTTATTCGGTGAATTCATTTTATTGCATTTCATTTATTTTTACTTTTTAAAATACCTGGGCAAGGTTTTGCGCATCTCGCAAAAAATGTACTTTTATTTTCCGTTTTACTAACTTTTTTGATAATTATTAAACTTAAGTAATTAATTAGGACGTTATTCTTAAAATATGAGCAAACCATGTGCCACTTTCTTTATATTCAACAGCTCTCTTGTGTATAATAAATTGTGACGTATTTCTTTATATAATTATTTTATGAATTTATTCTGGAATTTCTTGAGAAGGGTTTTGTAAAACTGGTCATCATCCCCGCGTCATTTTCATTTTTAAGTTGAGAGAAAAACTAAAGAAAAATTTGCATTACAGGTCAAGTTCACACAGAAAAACGAGGAAAAGGAGTAACGAGTCTAATGAAATCTTCAGCAATTTAGGTATGTTAATTTAAACAACATTTTTCACAATATTAATTCATTTACCTTGAAATAAATGCATTATTGTTGATTTTAAAATAAAATATAATGATACAAGAGATACAGTTCATACACACAAAACTCTATCGATATTTTTTTTAAATTTGTCACTCATATTCAAAAATTTTATCAAATTTACGAGTAGGCTAGCTTTAGAGCCGTGGTAGCACAGATCGTTAGCGCTCGCTATAAATTTCACAGTACGCGAGCAACCCGGGTTCGATTCTCATCGGCACCAATGAAATTGTTAATTGCAATTTTAAGTGCTCATTTACCACGTGCTCGGTGGTGAAGGAAAACATTGTGAGAAAACCTGCATGTCTGAAAAATAAGAAAAAAAATACTTCGAAGACATGTGAAGTTTGCCAACACGCATTGTTGCAGCGCGGCGGACATTTCCTTGTCCTAAAATCCTTCCAGAAATGTGAGGAAGCCTGTGCCCAACAGTGGGACGTATAAAGGCTACAGCTTTAACTTTTTTTTACCTAGCTTAAAGTGCCTCCATCTATTACAGCCTATAAAAATTCACTGCTGAACATAGGCCTCCATAGATTGCCTTATAACGTCGATTGGTAGGCGGGTTAGACACCGCAGTTTTTATTATTTTGATTTGTTATCAGGAAGATGCTGATGCCCATAACCTGTTTCCATTTCTCTCTTTCGCCTCTTAAGACATACACGGGATGATATGGAGTAGTGAATGTTCTTACACCACCACTACATCACCTTAATCTACACAGTAATTTAAGTCTATCTATAAGAGGTCTTAAGAACTTTCTTACATTTTTAAAGTATCCTCTTTTGAAATTTTAAGCGCATTTAAAAAGCATTCTTATAAATAAAGGATATTATAAACTAGATAATTATTTAAATTATAAGAATACACGGACGTAATGAGCTTCGTCAGATTTTTTTCACATTATTTCATAAGATTAAATAGTAAGTGCTGGGAGAAACATTTGTCTATTTGTCAGTTTCTTGCCGATTCTTCTCATGACTTCAGGACAGGATACGGACCAGGGAGTTCTAGAACCAGTGGCTAAGATTAAACATTCAAAAATTGCTTTGTCAAAATCAACTTTGTGTAATAATATTTGATTTTGACAACTATAGCATGATATGAAGTAAATTTACAGAAGTTCATCTGAATTATTGATTTTTCATATTATCTAATAATATATGTAATCTAGAAACATTATTTGTCTCTGCTGTAATTTTAGATGAAGGCCTTTTAAGGTTTAGGCGTGAACTGGGACCATCCAACATCATCATCTCTCAACATTTTACGGAAAAAGTTGTAACTCCAGGAGAAGATGTAAGTATGCTTTTACGATTATTATAGGTTGGTAGACACACATGATAGATAAAATATGTTTACGACCTGTGAAAAAGCAACTTTCTCTGTAGAATTATATGGTAATATCAATAAACGATTCCATATTTTACTTTACGAAAATGAATATAATATGGTGTATTATTTTAAATTATAAAAAGCTGTTTCAACTTTTCAAAGGGAACCGATTAACTTTTATGATTATAATACAAAAGCAATTTTACGAGTACAAATTACCCGCCCCAACTTTGCTTAGGCGAGACCTGTTAATGTGGTGTCATTTACATTTTTTTTAAATCATCAATGTTTTCAGATAAAATAAGGCCTAGATTACTACTGGCATTGCTCTCTATCTGTCGTTTAAATTTCATTACAATTAGTTTAGCCATTCCGAAGACTATCCCGAAGAGACAGATAGACAAACATTTTACAATGTCTTATTGGCGTGCTAATAATCTCAGGGCTGTATAAAAGGCGGTTATTGCGATATTACAAATAGAAACTTCAATTTTATTTATTACTAGCTGTGCCCGCGGCGTAGCTCGCGTATACAGGTTTTACATAAGGAATTTGTCGTTTAGGTAAGGGAATATTAAACGATTTATTTCATTACTGTATCAATAAGTGGTAACAAAATAAATCATTATCATCAAAGTTCTAAGTCGTTTATGATAGAGCTTCTGTGTAAACGACGTTAGAAGTAGGCTTAGCCGGGGTATACACAAAAAGGTTACGGGGGCTACTAACGCGGGAAAAAGCAACATAGAGTTGGCCATGTGCAAAACAGTCAGTACTGAGGTACACTCCTACAATGCGTAAAGTTTGACCTTGCGCTTTATTTACGGTCATCGCATAACACACACTCACTGTAACTGGGAACTGAACGCGCTTAAAACTGAAAGGAAAGTTACTTCTTAATAGAGGGTTTTTGGGCAGTGCTGCCAGATAAAAAAAAACTCATTCAGCTCTAGGACAACACAAAAAGCGCTAGATTTCATGAAAACAGCGCTTTAAAAAGCCCTAGTTTTCGCGCTAAATTAACTACAAACAAAGTTTGTGTTTTTTTATATAATCATAATAAAGAAAACAACATTAAGTTTTTTTTCTGGCAATATTTTTTGATGTATCAATACTTCGCAGGACATCGACTTATAATTATAGCAATTGCTGTCAACAGTAGTTAGTATTGTACGAACAATAAAAATGTCATTAATTGTTTTAAAGTGCAATATATTTCGCAACTAAGTTTCAGATGTCAGCATCTGATTGCGGTTGCTACACAGTTTTTTTGTGTTATAACTACTAAGTAACTTTTAACTTAGCTGTGCTCTAAGCAACTGACTGAAACTGAATAAAGCAAAATAAATGCGTTGCCAAAACCATGAACGAAAACTTTAATAAAGGGGATTTCCCCACTTATAGTCGTCGGTAAAAAAATCAAGTTGATCATCCTAAAGGGGAAGCCAGGAGATCCATAGCACAGGGTATCCTAGTTTGGACTCGTCTCCCATGCTCTTTGTTTTGTGGAAAAAATATGTTTGAAAAAGATAAACTGCAATGTACTATCTGTGGGAAAAAATAATAAAGGTCATTATTATTATTATCGGTAATGTGGACTAACATCTGACAGTGCTGCTATAAAAGAGTTAATAACCCGCTAGTCGCTAAAATATTGAAATGTGTGCTAAATACACCAAAAAGCGCTGGATTAAGCGCTAGGTGCTAAAATTTCGAAATGCGCGCTATACATTCCAAAAAAGTGCTAAATCTAGTTCTCAAAGCGCTAAAATGGCAGTTCTGATTTTGCGTATATGATAAATACAATATCATGACATTTCGTTGCAAAATTTTTATTTTTAGTCGGGTTCCGTTGTATGGCTTAGATGGATACAAATTTCTTCAGTAAGTCTCAATACGATTCATCGGCGAAAAATCTCAACACCGCAATTCAGAAAAGTTTGTAATTTGTACAACTCCATCTATTACGTCCTTTGTGTGAGAAAACATCCTATCTCTTTTTGTGTTTTAAGTATAAATATATTAATTATTATGGAACGTTTTTTTTACACAGAAATCTTTTTATTACTATTTCTGAGATTTTGTGGCGCCATTGAACAAATTCGAACCTACATTTCAAAATAATAATCATTACTTTCGATAGAATTAACCAATTTTAATAAAACAAAGATTAAATGTAACTCGAAGATACGCTTTATGATATTCTTAACGATTTCTTTGAAAATAAAAGATGTTTACTTTAGACGTGATGCGTTCATGCGACAAATAGACAGACAGACAATTCTAAAAATTATAAAATGTTCTTATTTAATTATTTTCAGTTCCCCATAATGATTTTAGCCACCAAAATATATATACAATGTACAGAAAGAGACACAACATGTTATCATCATTTTTATTATATGTTTATATTTAAAGAGAGATGGCGCTGCTAACATCATCAATTCTAAAAATAAAAGAGATTAATTGACGCGATTGATACATTATATAAAACGTAAGAGAACTTATAAATCAGTGCCTGCACAGTAAGCAAAAAATAAAGTTTGACTCTCGCCAAAACCAATGCAATTGTTAATAGCTCTTTTAAAATTTGATTTACCACATAGAGTACTCGGCGGTAAAGAAAAAATTGAGTTTGTCAACACGCAGTATGGCAGCGAGTAATATAATAAAGATTAGCAGTAAATATGAAAACTCATCTACAGGAAAAAACCACATTTGCAATTACATTACATTTTCACAACACCACCATCTATCGAAGAAATGGGTTAACTATTGTGCTTCAGATTTCGTTAATAAGGTTAATATATTTTTGTATAATATATTTAATACGTTCTTTATTACTTTTGTTTACTGCGTTTTAGATATACATAATTATATCATTATTTTACATAATTTAACTATGATTTATGATATGATATTAGTTTAAAATGCACTTGATGACTCAAACAAAGCCACCGTTGAGCAAATTCGTACCTATACTTCCCTACCCATACTTCAGAATATTTATCATAACTTTTGATGGAATGAACTGATTTTAATGTAATAAAGACTAAATGTAACCCGAAGATACACTTTATAATTTCCTTAACAATTCTTATGATATAAATTAGTACTTTATACGTGATACGTTAACAAACAAACAGACAGACAGACAGACAGACAGAAAATTCTAAAAATGGTAGAAATGTATTTAATTACTTATTTTTAGTACCCCTTAATCACTTTTATTACAAAAATATAAAATGTACAGACATCTGCTATTTGCAGTTTTATTATATGTATAGATATATTTTATATATTATGTATATAGATGATGTTAAATAATAACTAAGCCAGTATCATTTCCAAATACATTTTTAGAAATAGTACACATGCGTTATTTGTAAGGGTGCAAACGTCAGATTTCCTGATTAAGTTTCCGGTTACGTTTTCCGTGTTCTCGACGCACGCATTTTTACAAATCCTTCTACACAGCGTGCACGCTAGTAATACGGTACGGAAAAAAATTATAAGTAAAGGTTTTTCACAGTTTCACTTAGTGGTAATTAATTCACAGAACCCACATTTTCAGTGTAATAAATTATAGACTGTTTCATTTTAAATGTAACTATGTACTAGGTTGCTTAAAGATAATCATATACCTAAAATTTTCTATTCTCAATAGAAGATAAAGTGTCGACTTCATGAACTTTATAAAATATACGAGCTACAGTTGCGCATCCTTAAGTGTATCACCCCTCTCAAAATAAAAGATAAATATAAAAAAAATCCTTATGGTCTTTTCCATCATTGCAAAATACTACCAGTACACGACAAAGTGAAATACCTATTGCTACTTGAAAATTATGGCAAGGAAGAATTAAAAATTAGCCGTATTTATACAAAACTTACTCGACAAGCCCTTAATCCATATATGATTATCCCAAAATACAAAAATATGTACGGAAAATTTAGATTACAATGTCAAATTCCCGCTCTTTCGAACCTAATTCCCAAACCAATAAAAAATGAACTTACTGAAAAAATATTAAACATATGCTTAAACAGAATTTTATCGACAAAATGTTAACGATACCTTATAATAATTTAAACTAAAATATAAAACTATATCCACTAACGCACATCATAATATAATATACATAAATTAAAAAAAATACTAATAAATATATACATTTACTAATTTACTAATTTTCATTTAATACTAACCATATTTTGCTTTCGTACACCACCTAGATAAAAAAAACATCTTGCTATTTTGTCACACCATTTATATACGTTATTAAATAAGTTGTCGCAACGCGAACCGATTGAACATGATCGAAGTTACGAATTGGCGGTACATGAAAAAACTTTTGTAAGTTTATTTGTACTGTCGGATGTTATTAAATAACTATACTTTGTAATAAATAAATAAATAAAATAAATAAATAAAAATGTATTAATGATTAAACGCAGTCGATTTTAAATCACAATTTATTTACAGATAAGCTTAGAATGTACAGCCACAGCAGATAGACCGCCACGATTTGTTTGGGAGAGAGATGGCGTAGTGATATCCTCAAACACGGATTCCAGGTTAAGTATTGTCTTTTTTTTTACTCGTATAATTCATACTAATTAAACGACCTCTTTTGTAATCTTAATATCAAAAAGTGAAGATAATTATTATCAACAACCCTAGATCAATTATAAAAAAAAGTTAAAGCCAGTTACAAACTCTACTAGTACGAGTAACTGGGTTTCTATTTCACTTAATGAACTTACACGTTTTAAAAATAAAATGTATTTTTTATTTTTTTCATTGTTAATAAAATAGTTAAAGTACGGAATTAATAAAAAAATAATAAAAACCTTTTTCGTGGTCCGCACCTTACTGTCGCTTTATCCACAATATCATAACACACCGCTCTTTGTTATCTTATTCATGAAAATGGAAGCAATGAATTTAAATAAAATAAATAAAATCATTCTGTTGCATTTGAGTTTAAGTTTCCGACATCAGTTAATAACTAGTTCGTCAGTCAACGTGCATCGCACGCAGGTGTGGTTGGCTAAGAGCCTTCAATTTTATTATAATATAATACAAATTTAATTTTCATTTCAGATACATTCTGGGACAAATGATGTCATCATCAGGAATTGGTGTCATCTCACACTTCAATATATCCAGAGCTAGAGTTGAAGATGGTGGCTTGTTCTCCTGCGTTGCGTACGAAGGGGACTCCAGCACAAGCCACGTAGCCCGTGTAGATGTTTTTGGTAGAGATAAATTGATATTTTAAAAATAGATAACACAACATGTTTTTTCTAAGAAGAAGAATAAAGAAGAAAAAACAAATACCTATCATCGTCATTAGCCTCTTCCAAGCCGCCCTATACAGCCAGGTGTACTTTACGCAGTTTCTAACTATTTTTTTTACCGTAGAGTGACACAAGTTTTGTCGTAAAGCTTCATCACAAAACACAATTCATACCAATTGGGAACTTCTTAAGCACATTATTAGTATTATATTTAGTGTTTTATTTTATTATCTAATATATAAAAATAAATATTTGTTCTTATTTTATGCGCTGCCATACAGTTCATTAGATTGCCCTAAAACTTTGTCAACTTGCTTGCACTTGCGTAAATGTTATAGGCTATATATTATGTACTATACAGTTAACCTACACAAGATGGCGCGCGTATCGTACCTTCATTTGAAAGTTATATATCATTCAATTTAAATGAATGTGTTATCACTGATAATTAAACAATATAACTCTTCCAAATTTAAAACGATATTTCCACAATTATTTGTTTTGTGGCAACAACTCACCGGGTACCAGCTAGTCTAATATATAAAAATTTATGTTTGTTTGTTCGTATTTAATGCGCTGCCTGTTCGTATTTAATATTATTGCTTGCATTTGCGCGATGGTTTTAGGCATAGTACAATTATCTTACTTAGTTGAAAGTTATATGTCATTATATTCAATTAATGTATTATCAGTCCCAATTGAACAATATAACTCTTTAAAATTTCCACTATTATTTCTTCTGCGGCAGCAACGCGCCCGGTACCAGCTAGTACGTAATAAAATAGGAAAATGAAAAAAATGTCTGATGTTTTTCTAATAAATTGAAGTAAGGGTTTTGCATAAAACAAATGTCGTAAAAAAGTTTCTCAAGTGACTTAGGTCGAATCAAATAAATCCTCTTATGTCGCACGTACAATAACATTTTGTTTTTATAGGTCCACCCTACATTAGAACCTTGCCGCCTATCAAAGTACAAAGTGGGCAACCATTGAGATTACGTTGTCCGTACTATGGATACCCCATAAGGTAAAATATTTTCGATTTATTGAATAGTATTCATATCTCTGTGAAATGAAAAGTATACGTAATTAATTAAACAATTACTAACTGGCGTGATCCTTCCTTGGTCGAGCCAATATATTCGACCGACAACCATAATATAGCTGCAGCATGGCTCTATCGCATAAGGTTTGTGTTATGTCCATCGCTTTGGTGCAGTCTGTAGTCAAAAGGGCTTGATAGATAACACACATACACACACACACACACATTCGTCTTGGTTGTGGAAGTACTATAGAGCAAAATATTTGTATTTATATTTTTTATTAGTTTTTTAAGCACCAATTTTTTATGTTGTGCATTTTTTTTAAGTTTGCGTGTAGTCGAAAAATATAACATCCATAACATTTTTAAACCGATGTATAACTGATAAGTACAAGTATTGGAAAGGACTGGATGGATCGAAAATTTATTTTTATTTTTGTTTAGATAATCTTAATTTGCCAAAAAAAACTAAAAGATTCAGTTTCTAATAAATTAATTTATTATAAGCTGAAATGCTGTTATTTCACACAGTAATTAATTTTAACTAATATTCATAATTCAGTTTCAATTTTTTAATAATACCCATTTGCAAATTGTATGAAGCATAAAAATGAAATAAGTCCATGTATCGATCCAATAATAATCGACGATGATTAATTTTCGCTAATTGACGTACAACCACAGCGTAGCATTTTTTTAAAATTTATTAACGTTAGATGACCTACAGAACAGGGTAGCCCGATATAATTTACTATTACTGATTTTACTATAATGATAAAACTCTGAGCGATTTTTGAGCAGTCCCAGCCCGAATGCCGGAAATTGTCGGAAGCTATTAATTGCGAAGGAAAAATCTTCGACAAGTGCACTTAACAAAAAAGTAATTAAATAAAACTCTGACCTCTTATCTATATATCTGACCGAGCAAGCGAGCTTGCGCCTCTGCTTGTGTGACCACGGCCGCCTATGAATATACTATAATGGCTAGTAGTTTAGTACAGGTTACTGCCATCCGAAGTCACAACCACCAAAGATTCTCCCATTTTTGAGGTATCTTCAAAAAAGTATTTCGGTCGGTGAAAGAGTTTTAGTATTTGTATTTATTTAAAAATACTAAAAATGTTTAACAGGTTGAGTACATGTGGAGTTTTTTTCGTTGTGTTTTCTTCGATTTCAAGAACCTACGATTTGAAATAAATTACATTTGACAATGTAATACTTCAATTACTTTCTTACGTCGAAGACATAAATGTTTTTCAATTCATACTAATTATTTTAAATAGTTATCACTATTTTTTTATAGTAAACTATACTAGGCTTGTAAAATGTGTGTGTGTGTGTGGGGAAGAAATTCCACAACGTGTGGAATATTTTAATCAAAAGTATTTAGTTACAAATAATTGTCAGATATTTTGGATTTTAACTGGGATTAATTAAAAAGTCGAAGCGGGGAGCTGACCTTAATCCCCAAAATGTCGCTCCCTAAAATCTACCGCCCGGGGCTTAGCCCCCTCCTAAGCTACTTTATTCTTAATATATTTTTTATATTAGAAACTGCCACTGATATAATATACGCTTATATGAAATTTTTCCATACTCTTTCAGTAAACTTGAATGGGAACATAAAGGGAAAAAAATTGTCAATTCGATGCTACCTCAACATTCACGATATAAACGCTTTGTTATTGAGAAAGGTCGAAAAAATGCGAGAAAAAAAAGAAAGAAACGACAGTTATTTGAACCAGTGGAGGATGGAGTACTCAATATACCTAGAGTACTCAAGGAACAAAATGGAGACATGTACACATGTATTGTTTATAGTCCGTCTGGTGAGATGGCTAGAAGGTAATAAATAAAAACTATTTAGTTGATGTTTTTTATTGTTGTGTTTTAATATGAGGTCTCATTAAATATTATTATTACAGCTGATCAAAATTTTCCAATGCCATTTTCTTTTGTAAGCACCACACGGCGGGGCTTGTACATACGTAGGGTCGCCAGATACTGGCACTTGATAATGTAAACAATGATATTTTTTTAGTTTTGTATGCCAGCTACATATATATAAACCTTGTACGGATCTAATCAATCTATAATCATCTGTCAGATTAGGTGTAAATATCGGCCCATGAGCAATTTATGTACATAAAAATCCTCCACAATACGGAACAAAAACCACTAGAATTTTAAATATGACAATTAGTAGAAATAAATTATTAGGCCAGGAGGAAGGATGAAGCTGCTCTTGTTATAGAAAACTCTATTAGAGCAGCATCAATAGTATTTTATATTTTTAAATACAATCATAGGTCCAGTCGACCACATCTCCTACATCGATAAGTTTGTGCTACCTGAAAACATTGACTTCCAGCCACTGATATCTGCTCGAGTTTCGCCACGAGACAGGTTTGATATCCGTTAGAATAATTTATGTAAAAATAAACCAGAATGAGCGCCATAGTCGAATGTGTTGGGAAGCTAAAGTAGTAAATCACTTTGGCCACTATACGCTATATGTGCTGTAGATATGGTGACCGCTGAAAAACAAACATTCTTTAATGACAGCGAAGAATAGGGCAATAGAGTAATCAATTTGATAAAAAAAATTAAATTTTCTTTCCGGTATGTAAACAACTAAGCTATATAGTTTAAATAATCTGTAACATTACAGAAACTGCTTTCTCCTAGTATTTCTATGAGGCCTATGCAACAAGAAGTGTTATTTTGGAATAATAAATAGTACTACATTTTCATGTTCATCAATTGCCTATTTTCGGACTTATGATGATAATGGTAATGACAGTGAAGGTAATGACGATGAAGATACTGATAGCGACGGTGGTGACGGTGGTGGTGGAGGTGGTGGTGTAGGCGGGGGCGGTAGTGGTAATTATGTTACAAATGATGTTTTATCACTTGTAACTATTTATTTTTTACGATTTCAGATCATTCGAAATTCAAGTGGTAGAAGCTCCAGCGTTAGATGAACTCCGCGTTGGTACAGGCTTAAAAGAAGGACAAATTGTACAAATTACGTGTAATATTATCAGTGGGGATCCACCTATATTTTTTTCCTGGCTAAAAGATGGGATGAAGATTCCTGCAAGCTTAAAAGTAATTGTTTTTAACCTATCTTTCGTTTATTTTATGAGCGACACCTGTGGATTTTATACTGCTAAATGCCAAACATTGGAGTTACCCATGGATGAATTTGACAAATAAGAATAATGTGATTACTATAAACTTGAGATGCTACTTGTAATAGAAATCTTTTCTTTTTCGTGGAGCCAAATTTTAATTTTCTACAAAGGAGAAATTTAATATGAAAAGTATATTTTCGTCTTATACCTTTTTTGTTAGTTTGCAACATTCCACTACTAGACATAGGCTTTCCTTTTTGGAGTAAGTTTTTTCGTGCCAGTACTAAACGCCTCGCACATTTAACATTATACCTATCTCCAGTTTTTAGTGGTTTTTTTTATAAGATAAGGGTGACAAACGAGCACACAGTCCACCTGATGGTAAGTGGTTGCTGTGGCCCATAGACATCTACATCTATCCTCTATTACAAATCAAAATGCAGATGCGTTGTCACCCGTTAGGACTAAGATGGAATGCCTCATTTCCAGTAAAAAGGGCCTCCGGCCACCTGCACTCACCAAGCGAAACGCAGAGGTAAACCTGTACTTCACGCTGGTATTCTGTGAGGTCGTGGTACCACCCCGGTTCGAGCCGGCCCATCCGTGCGACAGCAAAAGCTGCCGCATAGCTCTAAACGTTGCTAAAGCATCACAATAGCGTAAACGGAATGAAAAACAAACGAAGTCAAAACCACTCTCTTAGAGTTTCGGAACGACTCTATATAACATACATATTTAAGAAACTTCTCACTACACGATGTTAGCTTTCCTCTGGCGGACCACCTTGCCGGTGATAAAACTTACCTTTTCAATCAACGGATATATTTTTTAGAAACAGTTTCAATCCCGCTCAGAATATTTCTGTTATTATGCATAGACTCTTTAAGATTTACAGAAACTACAAGGAATTTTTATATATCAGCCTGATTTTTTTTAAAGAAACTGTTTTAATTTCAGATAAATGAACGAAGTTCAGAGTTGTTTAGCGTTTTAATCATAAAAAGAGTTTCGTTAGAGCATTGTGGTAAATACACGTGCATTGCAACAAATCATGTTGGGAAAGTGAATCAAACGGCAGATTTATACATAAATGGTAAGTTGATATTGGTTAATGTTTCTTAAGTATAAGAGTGACATTTTGGCAATTTTTGACCAATTTGAAAATTAGTTTGGTAAAGTGTTTGACAGTAAAACAAACAGTGTGGGGGTAACTTTTTTTGAATAAAAAAAACAAACAGATATTTCAAATAGAATAAAAATATTATATTATAATATAATAATTCAACACCGTGTATGGATTATTCATTAACAGTGATGCACTTTATTTATGTCGTAGACAGTTTATTGACTCTATAGATATTACCTAATAGATAGTTATTTATCTACATCATGTATGATTTAAAAAAAAGTTTTGGCTTACCCACTGCAATGTATTTGAATTTAAATTTTTCTGTAGGTTGAAAAAGAAAAGCTGTACTGAGTTCATCGTATCATTTAATGTGGGGAACCCATGCCATCCAGTATTTAAACAAGCATATTACATGCCTTCTTAGCAATTAGTATACAAGTTATAGAGTGTATTTTTATTTTTAGACTAAGCAAGTGCTTGAACGTATACTAATGAAAACTAATTCCGAAATAGCATAGCCTAAGATACACAATAAATATGTACACTCCTGCTTTGCGCAGCCTAATATCATGTCGGCTTGAGAATACTATTCCCTTATATTCTATCGCTGACAAAATGTTAATTAAATAATTAATAGATAGTTAGCACAAGTTTCCTCCCTGAAGGCACATTGGCCTTTCGAACTAATAAACTTTTGCTGTTAGATTTGTACACTACTCCAAGCAAATATATTAACTTAGAAAAAATTATTGTTAAAACAATTATTTTAACTAAGTTTCCTTAGATTATCAATACAATTTCTAAAATAATTAACAAGATCAAAGTTAAAAAAGTATATAATAAACATAATTGTTTTTTTTACAGTTGCTCCGAAATGGGTAGAAGAACCGACAAATACGTCTTTATTGTTAGGCCAACGTGGTGTAATTTATTGTAACGCAAATGGATATCCCACACCCCAGATTCATTGGATGAAGAGAGATGGTGATTATTATCACTTATATTAGATCAAAGGCGAGAAGGAGAGGAATTATTATTCTAATTGTAATTAAATAGTAAAATGCGAAATAATCCACAGATGAGCACAATACTAACCCTACTATTATTCTGGGGATAATGGACTAGGAATAATTTGCAACAATACACTTGTATTTTTGGCGAGATTTAAGTTTTATCTTCGATATTTTATTCATCACAAAGTTTTATTTGTCAACAAAGACAAAAATTAACACAATAATTTGCAATTAATGTTAGTATTTAAGACATAATTCAGATTGTTGGAGTAATCCAAGAGTACTCCACATATAAACTACGGCTCCAGACTTTTTCATAGTACAACGCTTTCAGTTATTGTTACGATAAATTCTGGCCTGAATAAAGTTTATGGTTAATAATATGGGCTAATGTTAGCTACAATACAAGTTAATACAAAAGCTATTATAAAGTATTGGGTGAATAAATATAACGTCATGTTTGAAATTAAGCGCTTGTCTGATATTGTATTAGTACTTTGTAAATCTATAGACGAATACACGTTGTGAAGGTAAAACTTTTGAGACACGTTTTCCTTTACATTTCATCACATAAATTTATTTATGTGATGAAATCTAAGTTTTTGTACGTGGTAGAGCCATGCTGCAGCTATATTAGTAGTATAGTTGTAGCACGAATGGGTCAGCTCGACCGGGGAAGTACCACGCTCTCACAGAATACCAGCATAAAATAGCAGCTTAACACTGCTGTGTTTCGTATGGTGTGTGTAGACCGGAGACCCTTTTTACTGGAAAAGAGGCATTCCGTTTTAGTCCTCATGGGTGACAACGCATCTGCATTTTGATTCGCAAACGAGGATCGATGTAGATGTATATGGACCACAGCAACCACTTACCATCAGGTGGACTGTGTGCTCGTTTGTCACCCTATCCTATAAAAAAAAAGTTAAAATTTACGACCTTCCTTATAATCGGTGTCTATCGGGAACTTATCTATTTCAATAGTTGTCTATTTCTTATGTTATTTAGTGAAAATTACTAGAGCAACTGTAGGTGTTTTTTTTTTAATTGACATAGATTTTTATGATTGAGGTAAAAAATCAATTAGGTAGAAAAAGTCACTATAAATTGTCAAATTATTTCAGCTGCTCTTGGCATATGGCGACCAGTCCTTGACCTTGCTGGTGGAGGTGTTATTAGTTACCCTAATGGGACACTTATAATTGAGGTAGTGTCACTATCCGATGAAGGCGTTTATGCATGCAACGTGGAAAATGGCGTTGGGGAAGCACTGAATAAAAATTTGTGGATAAGTGTTAATAGTAAGTAATTGCAAATTAGATATCTTATACCATCCTAGCTTAAATACCTTAATTACTTAAGATCCATGATAAAATACATTGCTTTGCCGATATCCAATGGAAACACATTTTCTGCCGACTTCCAAAAAGGAGACGGTACTCAATTCAGCCGTATGTTTTTTTTATGTGTGTTACCTCATAACTTTTTACTGGGTAAACCGATTTCGACGACTCTTTTTTGTTTTGAAAGCTATTACTTCTCTTGTGGTCCCATATGAATTTGATCAAGGTCAGAACAATGGTTTTTGAATTATTCTTAATAACTTATATTGCAGTAGGCTGTACACAATTTTTAATTTTAAATTATCACATATCACTCCACTATATTTTTTCTTCTTAGATTCGTTTTCGTTACCGTTACCGTTACAGCCACTGTCACAAGTCCCCTGTTAAGCAAAAACCTTCCCTATGGCTTGCCACAAAGGTGATATTGTTTCCACGCTTAGCAGTTGGGCAACCTTTCTATCTCTTATTGATATAAAATGGTTAGTCACAGTCATGATAAAAGATCTTGAATTCTCTAGTACTTGTATTATTGTTCAGATAGATAAATGCAAGGAACACCAAAGACAGCTATTTTAAAATAATATTTAGTTTTAATGAAAATGACACATTATTATTTTTCTATAGTCATTATCATATTACTTGCAGCTTAAAACAAGTCCACCGCTGAATATAACCCCCCTCTCCAAAGATCGTCACTACTTCTTAACCTACGTTTACAGACTTCTTGAAAATCTCAGTGACTAGTCGAGCTACAGATAGACTAATGTATACAGCTGGTATAAGGTTTCACTCCCAGAACTTTCTTTTTTAACGAATGACCATTGTTATTACTTCAGTTCACTGGTACGTTGGGCTATGAAACCCACTCGATCTTTATTACGGATTATATCACGGAAAGTTCTATTCATAGCTCGCTTAGCGATTTTGATTTACTTCAAAAGTGAAACAGGCCAACACTGAAAAAATGCCTTAAGGTTCATGTCGCTATCGCTGGTAACCCTTTTAATAAAAATTACTTACTTAAGTAATATAATATAATAACTATAACAAATACTAAGTTATTTCTAGAGCCAGTGCATTTTGAATCGGTGGGAACCAACCTCACGACTAAACTAGGACTACCTGTTACATTACCTTGTCGACCGCTTGGAGACAGTCCTATGAGAGTTAAGTGGACCGTTAATGGCACGCCAGTCGACTTCACCACTTCAAGGTATTTATTTGTGATAAAATATTTTTAGTAACAAAATTTATATATACGTACATATTTTTAAAATATTCATAAGCCAGTGTATTAATATGGTAGTGTAGAGATTTCATCTCGTGTAAAATCTCTCGATCCCTGATAGGTGACATTCTAACCATCTTGTATCTGGCAGAAATAAAATACGAGAAAAAAGAAGATAGAGCCAAAGAGTTGCGAGACCATCTGCAAAGCGTATTCATTATGATAAATCCTCGTCACTATGAGAGAGGCTGTATAACATCGAAGTAGTAGGAAACAAATTATGGGCTAGTGAAGATACATAGCAATATACAAATGATGATTTATTTATCATTATTCACTACAGCCTACTGCTGAATGAAGGCTTCGTTCATACCCGCATAGATTGCCTTATAAGGGGCATATTTGCCATAATTGCCACGCTTAGTGAAAGTTGCGACATCTGTAATTTACAGCTAATACTTCTGACAAACCTAACATCCACTTATTGTCCTAGATGTACAAAAGATGGCGCTGTGATTAAAATGTGATAATTATTCCATCAACAGAATAACAGTATCGGAAAGCGTGACTCCAAATGGTGTTAAAAGTACTATCAATATTAATTACGTTGAAAGTAGAGACGGCGGGGCTTACGAGTGCAGAGCAAGCAATCCCTATGGTGTGGCAACCTATGTTATACATCTCAATATTCTTGGTAATATATTAAAAACAGAGAGTTTATTTATTTTCCTATTATATAATAAAACAAAAATCTTATTAAAATTAATTATTGCAGAGCCACCAACTCCACCTTTAGACTTACAAGTGGATTCAGTAACGAGTAATTCGGTGAAACTGTCATGGAGGGATACCATCAGTGCGCATGTGCAATATTACACAATCCAATATTCAACAAATAACTACATGCTTTGGGATTCTGGAAAAAATATAAATATTACAAGGTACACCTTATCTGTAAGAAGACTAAAATGTTATTTAAAAGCATAAAATATAAAAAAAATATATAATATCAATTTAAGTACCTTCTAATCACAAATTAATTGAAGTTTGATGACACCAACGAGAATTTTTGTCCGATCTCATAAAACATGAAGTAAAGTAAATTTACAGCCTATATACGCACCACTGCTTAGCAAAGGGCTCCTCTCAGTTCTGAGGGTTTTAGAGCAAGGAAATGTCCACCGCGTTGCCAATGCGTTTTGGCTAATTTACAGGTCTTCGAAATATAAAACATAAAATGATAATAATCCTATTTCTCGGTGGTAGGACTCCTTTTCTGCCCAGAAGTCCATCTGAGTAGGTTCTACTCATTTTACCTTATTCTCTCACCAAATAGCAGTGCTTACTAGCCAGTATATTAACAGTCTGTGAGCCATTATACCTAAGCCCTCAGAGGTGACAATGCAACTTTAGCCTGATTTATGTTGTGAATTTGGCTGCAGTAGCCACTTAACACCAGGTGAACTATGGGTTCGTTTGACAAACTTTAATTCTATATATTTAAGAATAAAATAGAAATTGCATTTAATTTCGTTATTTTCAAATTAAAAATGATCTAACGTTTCAGGCAAGAAAACGATATACGACAAAGCATAGAGCTACGAGACCTTCAACCTGCAGTAGACTACAGAGTACGAATAGCGTCAGGAAACCAAGTAGACCTAAGTCCGTATACACCACCTGTACATTTCACTACCATGCAAGAAGGTTAATATAATATTATATTTGACGCACATACATATTACATTATAAGAGTCGTTGTAGCTCAAACGCAAAGCGATTGCCATAGAATTCATAGTAAGCGGGTAGCCTTAGTTCGTTTCCTGCTCGCAACAATTATCTATTGCTGATACATTTGATACTGAAAAAAACCACCGTGAAGTTTTAACGTACGTCTTTAGTACATATTCGTGCACTGTGCCCTACACATATATCAAGCCTCCGTTAAGACTGGCCACCGTGGTCAAATTTCGGTCTGGAGGACATTATTGCTTGCGGTAGAAAGTCACGAACACAGCGTGACTTATTAGTTAGAGCAATTTATTGTTGACTCTCTAGTCACAAGACGAATTTTATACCATTGTGTATCCGAAACGAGATGAGACCTGTGCTTGAAAAGTACCGTACATCCTCCTTCCTTTCTCCCTGTCTTATTACTGGGTAATAAAATTTTATTCTTACAAGTGATAGCGTATCTTCATTTTTATTTTTATCGAATAATCTTTTCTTAATCGAGGATTGATACAGATGTCTAAAGGTCGCAGCATTCACTTACTATAAGCACTGTGCACACGTTCCTCACCCTACATCATCATCATTACAGCCCTTCACAAGTCCACTGCTGAACATAGGCCTCCCCCAAGGAATGCCACAAAGCACCTGCATTCATTGACTTCCTGCATATCTTACCAGGTCGTCACTCCATATAGTAGGGGGAGGCCCTACACTTCGCCTGCCGGTACGAGGCTGCTACTCGAGAAACTTTCTTCCCCATCGGTTATCGGTTCTTTGAGCTATACCTATGGCCAGCCCATTACGACTTTAGCATAGTAATTCGTTGAGCTACGTCGGTTACTCTGATTCTACTGCGGTATTCTCGTTTTTAAGTCTATCACGCAGATAACCTCCGAGCATAGCCATCTCCATAGCTCGCTGAGCGACTTTGAGCTTCCTCATACGGCTAGCAGTGAAGGACCACGTCTCAGTTCCATAAGTCATCACGGGCAACACGCACAGGTTGTACACTCTCGTTTTCAAGTTTTGAGTTATACCTGACGAAAAGATGTGGCGTAATATCCCGAACACTGCCCAGCCGAGTTGAATCCGTAGATTGACCTCTCGGTCGAAGTTAGACTTACCTAGTCGGACTATTTGTCCCAGGTAAACATATTCGTCAACAACTTCGAGCTTAGTGCCCCCAACAACTACCGGCATAGGTGTGACATGGAGGTTAAACATGATTTTCGTTCTGTACATGTCACCCTTATTTGAATAAAAATCCAGCAATAACATTTTAGCACCTTCATCGAGTCCGTTAAGCGTCCAAGTTCAATCCACGGACAATCCGGGAGAGCTGATCGTGTCATGGATAACTCCACCAAGAGATACACACAACGGTCCACTGCAGGGATATCACGTGAAAGCAGTTCCGAGAATTAGTGGTGACTCAGGTAGATGAGATTTTTTTAAAGTAACAGTATTTTATCAAAAATTAAAACAGAGCATATTTCAAATTTATCATAATGTCGATTGTCGACGTATTGGTTTTTATAAAATTTTAAATGTATGTACATGTATTACCTTAAAAGAAGCTTACACAGTAAAGACTAAAGCAGGCCTAAAAAGAAAACATATTTTTTAATGTATATAGCCATATTACGATTTGCAGTAGTCGTTTTATTGTTTTAAGGTCTCAACGATACGTATACTAAAATGGTAAAGGTAACACCGCGAAATGGAAAACAAGAGACTATTCTGAGTGGACTTTTAAAGAATACCAGGTAAGTTATATCTTATAACTTATCATTCTGCCTTTGCTAAAAGTAAAGTATTATGTTTTTTTAATAATATAAAAAGGTAATACAAAAACACCTAAATCTATATTATAAAGCGATGTAAACACTTAATCCAATATTATCATCTAATCTAATCGATAAGCAAAGATTCTTTACCAATATTTTAGGCTAGAAATTGTTATGAAAATTAAAACAGTAGCCGCCAAGAGGTGACCAGGTAAGTATGCATTACTCCATTTTGTCCCATGTTTATCTTAATGAGTGTGAGAAGACAAGAAAAACCAGATTTTAAATATCCTGGTCAACGATAGTTAGTGCCAAAGTAATGGGATATCTGATACTGCGATTGCAAATCCGTGTCAAACGGGGCTGTTACGGCATGTCCCTTCGAAGGGACATGCCCTGTTCATTGGACTTTTACAAGTTGATGTTGTAGAAAAAGAAAAATAAACTAACAAATAAACAGATATCACAATATATAGGAGTAAACAAGTGAGCTTGCGGCTCACCTGAGATTAAGTGACTGCCGCCGCTTATGAACAATTGCTACACCAAAAGCATTGCAGATGCGTTTCTGGAATTAAAAAAAAAGAATAGGCTCATTTTTCTAAGGTTCTCAAGTCGTATTGGCTTGGTATACTCGCTGCTCTTAGCCTATTCACACTTGACAGAAGCGAGCACACAGTCCACCTGATGATAAGTGTATATTGTGGCTTTTACACACTTACAGCTATCTTTGATTTAAAATTAAAATGCAGATGCATTGTCACCCTTGAATACTAAGATGTAATGTCTTGTTACCAGTACACCAGTATATCATACGAAACAGCATTATTCTGCTTTGTAGCACCAGCAATACGCCGGTATTCTGTGAGAGCGTGATCCTACTCTGGTCGAGTCGACCCAATCGTGTTACATCTATACTTACTAATATAATAAAGCGGAAGAGTTTTTTTGTTTTTTTTTTTGTTTGTTTAAACGCGCTAATCTCTGGAAGTACCAGTCCGATTTGAAAAATTATTTTTGTATATTATAGCCAGATTCATGTGGAATAGTATAGGCTATCTAGCATTAAGCTAATATATCCCGCAGCTAGCCTTAAATATGGATATTTGTTAAGCAGGTCAGAAGAAAAAGCACTCCCGAAATGATTTATCCGCGTACGCTGGTGTTATCGTTAGGGATACGTAAATACAATGTTCCAGAAAATATAGATCTTTACTCCATCTAAAAAAAGTCCGCGGTACCATATGTCTGTTTCTTATACATAAGCCATAATTAGGTATTATGTGACAAAAAAATTTTGATAATTTAAAAGTGATTTATGAGCGTTATTATTAGGCATGGCTTATTTATCCTTACGAACGAAAGTTACTTCATCATCAAGACAATTTTATGAAGATAAACTTTGTTCTTTATACCATGTTATTTGAACGCATAGTTTAAGAGATAATGTAAAATTAAAATAATTCAATACTTGGCAGGGCGCGCGAAAGACACATAAACCCTAGCCGTCCGGTGAGAACTGCGAGAACTGCTCAACCGTGAGAGGGAGGGAAAATGAATAAAACTTAACTTCGCTCTACATCATACATAATATGCCGACAGATAAAAGTACTCCATTAATTATGCCAATTTTTCCACCCATTGCTATCAAATAAAAAAATAATTGCAATTATAAAATGTTTGAACTAGGTCATGTCGCGCACCGCGCACGTGATGACGCGGGTGAAGCCGCGGGGCACAGCTAGTCCATAATATAGCAACAGCGTGGCTCTACCACGTTTCGCACTGCGATTCAGAAACTAAGTATGTTTATGTATGTACGTTTTTTTTTTCATTTCAGATACGCCGTATCAGTTAGTGCTTTCAATTCGGCGGGTACAGGACCATACTCTTTGCCGGTTTATCAAACTACGAGAGAAGGAGGTATTGGTGTTACACATCTGTATTTTTTTAAGGAATAAATTAAATGATATTTTTTTGTTTTGTAATTAAAAAGCGATACCACCCGCGCTCATCATCAAGCGATACGACAGTAGGATTTACTTAAGTCTTAAAGTTTATATTCTTGTGGCGCTGTCGTCGCGCAACAAGCGAAACACATCGGCGCCTAAATCGCACTAACAAAGTTCCGAAATTAAAGCAATATATATAGAATAGCTCCGAACTACCAGTCGGAGCGTTGGCCGCTCCCCGGGCAGAACATCTTGCCCGGCGGGAGATCTCCCCTTTTCCTTCCTACGGCCACAGTGGTGACCCCGACGTGATCACATTCTGCAAGTCATCTAGCTTTATAAATGTGGCGGCGCTGTCGTCGTGCCACAAGCGAAACACATCGAAGCCTAAATAGCACTAACAAACTTCTGAAGTTAAAGCAGCATATATAGAATAGCTCCGAACTTCCAATCGGAGCGTTGGCCACTCCCCGGGCAAAACACCTTCCCCGGCGGGAGATCTCCCCTTTTCTTTCCACCCGTCACATTCTCGAGTTGAGAACTAAGCTATTGTGAACTAATTTAATCACTCGTGAAAACTACACCGAAGAAAAAAAAATGACTTTGAATTTATGTGTGGGATTAATTGTCAATATTAGCGATTGCATGACCTGCAAAAATAATTAGAAATGTCTAAATCGTAATATCTTCTTCTTAATCAACAGCCCTAACAGCCTCCTATTGGACAAGGTTTCTCAATATTTTAGAGAGGATGTATAACTTACACATTTTAATACCCAAGCAATTAATGACGTAATTTGTTATAAAATTTTACAGCACCCGAGCATCCGCCCGCTTCCGTTGAATGTCGTGGAGTATCTTCCTCATCCTTGCGGGTGACTTGGCAGCCTATTACTGCACAGGGAACTTCTCTACTTGGTTACACAATACATTACAGCACTGAAGGTAATGTTGTTTGTTCTTCACAAAATGCTTTTATGGAATTTTTATTAAATCCTTCTTTGAAATACTAAGAGCATCAGAAACTTAGCTTTCATAGTTATTATTCACAAAAGTTATTTCGCTGACTCCGGTAGGGTTGAAGAGTAAAGGAAAAAAGATAAAAAAATTGCTTTTACTGTATTCTGATAGATCTTGAAAATTTTAAACATTTATTTGAATAAACGTATACTTCTTTTAATATTATATAACATTTCTAAAATCAACAACATGTACCCACATAAAAGTATACCACACACACACACAAGTGCACCCAAATATACGTACACTAACACATTTCTATACCCACATATAAGTCAACCCATCTAAAAGTGCACCCACGTATTATTATTACCCACACACAAGTGCGCCCACATAAAGTGCACGCACATAATAGCGAAATCACAATGCCTTAGTGGCAGAGTTGGCAAATGAATGCTGTTAACCCAAACGGACTCTTCGTGAGAAAAGGAGTCTCGCAGTCTAATAGGTAGGGTATTTAAAGGACAGCATACGATAGGGTTAATGTTAGTGTCTTTGTTTGTATGATATAAAAATCTGCGTTACAAAGGCCATCAATTCCTCCCATGAAAGTTAATAAGAAACATGTAAAAACAAATAGCTATTTCGGAAAACTTCGGCGAGATATATCGCATTTAGCGAGTGTCACTTAAGTATCTCAATCTGTGTAACGGGCGTCGCTTATCACCGCTACCACTGAGTTTTGTGGTACCAGGCTCGCTTTTTAAAAATTTCTGCTTATTTATTAATTCTCGCCGCACAGTCTACAGATTTTGTTCTTTATATTAAAAAAGTTATGATAAGAATAAGAATCATAATAATATGAATTACATGCAATCTTTATTGAATAAATATGATTCTATTCTATTCTATGTTACCTCCACACTAGGATTTTCTCCTGTATCGTGGGGGTAGTTTACAGACATACATTTAACAACGACAAACATCCAGACCCGTAACAATTATTCGTAGGCCATACAAATACTTGTTCCATGCGGGATTTGAACCCTGCTGAGCCACTGTGCTACGGAGCCGTCATAATTTTTAAAATAATTATGAAATTATATCCTAAAATATATAATAACGGTTAATATATTGAACTCAATATAATTCAAACCTTAAAAAGATTTTACTACGTTGAAGTAACATTAGATTAACTATTTTTTCTCATTTAATTTGAATATAACGTTCACCATTTCAAATCGTTGTTGTTGATTAATTCAAAACTAAATCCTGGTTTGATAAATTAATTTTCAGATGGCCCATGGCTAAATTTGACTTCACCGCATTCAGAGCTCTATCTGCAGGGGCTACTCAAATACACAAATTATACGATAAAAGTGGCTGGTTTCTCTAGCTACGGTATCGGGCCGTTCTCTTACCCTGTTGTGTGCACTACGTTACAAGATGGTAAATATAAAAGATTTTTATTTTTTTTAATAGTATGGATGATAAAAAAGCACCGATTAGATGTGTGGACTACGTACGATAGAATAAAAAAGGTGAATGGTACTTACACTGATCATACGGAAAACAGGGTGAGAATGTCCATATTTTATAAGCGTTTTTTGTTATTGAATATCCTTATTGAGTCACAATCTTTGATGTGGGTAATCCTTTTTCTAATCATCCTGAAGACAGTTCACTGCTGGATGTGGGTATCACCCATTGTAGATAGGATTTTTAACTAAATCGCAACTTTTGATACGCAAATTCGCAGTACTAAATATTATACATGTTTACGATGCCTCAGATAAAATATGCAGTCTGTATACTTTATAACTAGTAAAAATAGAAGATACATATATTATACCTATATCTATCATCGTTTAAGAATCTAATTGTTTTGTAATCCATGAGAACTAAGATAGAAACTATAATAATAATGTTAATCCTGTTTCCCTTAACTATCTATAAAAAAGCCGACCAAGTGCGAGTCGCACTCGTGGACAGGTTTCTAGTAGGGAAACCCCCTTTAATTTGTAATTTATTTTTAATTTTATTATTTGTTGGTATAACGGCAACAGAAATATACATTCTGTGAAAATTTCAACTGTCTACCTATTACGGATCATGAGATACAAGTCCGCTGACAGACAGACGGATAGACAGCGGAGGCTTAGTAATAGTACCGTTGATTACCCTTTGGGTACGGAACCCTAAAAAGGATCTCCAATTCTTAAGACCTACTGTACGAAACACAGCAGCATTAGGTTGCTATTTTACCATTTCTACTTCCGTGGTATTGCTCTAATACAGCGGTAGAGGGGCATCGTGTCGCATCCACGTCTCTTTCAGTTATTTTCCACACAATGCCGTCATTTCCATTATCGTATGACATTCTCGGGATAAAAAGAGTCTAAATATTCTTTAAGGTCATAGCGTAAAAGAATCAGCATCTCAGTATAATTAATAAATGTTTACTTTATTTCAGTTCCTGGCCCACCATCGGCTATTAAGCTCCTAGTTTCATCACCTACGTCGCTTCTTGTCAGCTGGAAGAAGCCAGATCAGCCAAATGGTGAAATCACTCATTACACAGTCTACGTGAAGCCTATTTCAAGGTTTAAAATATTTGTAATCATTATTACTTATATATATATATCGTATACTAGCAATCCACCCCGACGTTGCATAGCAATTGTTTTGTAGTGATGTTTATATTAGTTCATTACTATAATGTTTTTCATCTATCAAAACTCTTTATTAGTTCACATGTCACAAAACACGATCCTGTGCCATGATGGTAATATTATTATTATAATTCTTAATTGGAGTGACAATTAATTAAAACACATCCTAAGTCGATAAATGCAGGGGGCTCAGAGCTTTTTGTTCTGGACAGTGGGGAGGCCGTTTTTTTATTGATCCATGTCAACTATTGAACACAAGTGGTAAGATTAAAAATTTTGTACAACTGACTAAAATATAAATTATTAAGGATAGCTCAAAAATTACTAGTCAAACCTTGATCAAATTTATATGGGGTCACATGAAAAGCACCAGCTTTCAAATAAAAAAAAGAATCATCTAAATCGGTTGACTGTTATGAGGTAACACAAATGAAAAAAAAAAAGAAAAAGAAATACAGTCGAATTGAGTACCTCCTCCTTTTTGAAGATGGTAGAAGAACCATAGCAATGACTTAATGATGGCATTAATGATGAACAACTTCTTAAACAAAAGAAGTTTATCGATTAATGTTTAATTTTATTTTTATGAGAATAGTAAGGAATTATACTTTAATTACAGTTATTTTAATAGGAGTGTTTTTTTTAAAATATAAATTTAAAGTGACAAACAAACTAACAATCCAACTTCAAACAAAGAAGGCTACATGCGTTGTCACCTCTGAGTACTAAGATGGAATGCCTCACAGTCTGTAACAATACTGGCTATCTATACCCTTCAAACCAGAGCATAGCAGTCGTGCACTGATATTTGGGGGTTGAAGTAGAATGGTATCTAGGTAGACTCTCAGGCAGAAAAGGTCTTAACCACCTAGAGAACAGATCGTTTAAATTATTTATGGTTAACAAAATAATTTATTATATTTACAGACAAATTACAATTTCAATAAAATTCAGTTTACGCATTTTATTACGTTTAATTGAATATATTTTTTTACTTATTTTTAATTCACAAGGGCAGTGGTGAGATCATGGGTGCTTTACCCACCGTTAAGTAAAAGTGAGACAAATTAAACCGGATAAAATCCGTAAAATTTTATTTAAATAACGATTAATATTCAGGTCAGTATTCTCATGGACAATGTTTAATGATTTCTGTACTTTTTTTACAATGAATATATAAGATATAACTGAAAAGAGAAGATATAAAAATTATAATCACGCGATTAAAGTTTATTTTATATTTCAGCTTTTAATATGTTTTGTCTCAACGTTTCAGTACTGGTGCACCTCAAAACTATAGAATTGATGCAACGCAAGAATCGAACCTGTCTCGCCAGTTCACATTCCCTTTAACTGGTCTATCTATGGGGAGACAATATGAAGTGTTCGTGAGAGCTCATACTCCAGCGGGTGAAGGATCACCAAGTAACAGAGTGCATGCAGAACTAACAACTAAAGGTTGGCAAAGTCAAATGAACATAATGTTTGCAATACACGTAACTATTCTGTTTTGCTTTTAGAGGTAGCACTCGTTATTTGGCACAGAGGGTACTTTTGTGCCCGATGACTTCTCGTTGGTCTTGTCAATGATGTCGACAATATAACAGTGCTAGAGTAACATTGCTTTTCACCATCAAACAACCAGGCGGTCGACGCGACTTCACCCCTTTGTACCAAACGGTTTTTCTCGTCTTTCATAATGTGTACAACAAAGGAGTGGAACAACCTACGTACATCTGTCTTTACATACGATAACAATCTGAGCGTCATCAAGACAATAGTGAATAGGTTTTTGTTATGCTAAGATATTGCGATTTACCATCAAGTGCTTTATCACAACGTACTACCTGTTGTGACTGTAGTTAAGTAGTGAATAAATAGAAAAGTATAAATGAAGTGGCAATGGGCCGGCCATATAGCTCGAAGAACCGACAAACCGATGGGGAAAAAAAGGTTCTCGAGTTGCGGTCTCGTGTCGGAGGACGAAGTGGAGGGCATCCCCCTACTAGATGCAGTGACGACCTGGTAAGATATGTAGGAAGACGATGGATGCAGGTGGCTCAGGATCGTGGTTTGTGGCATTGCTTGGGGGAGATAGGCCTCCCAGCAGTGGACTTGTGAAGGGCTGTAATGATGATAAATGATGATGAAACTCTCTCCGATCGACCTTTCGTAATGTTTGCCAGCTTGTTAACATATTCACGATCCCCACACAAGTTTGGCAATTCATCAAATCGACGACAATTGTCACTATCGTAAAATAGCAGCTAACGCTGCTGTGTTTCTTATGGTGAGTGTAGAGAACCGGAGACCCTTTTTACTGAAAACGAGGCATTCTGTCTTAGTCCTCACGGGTGACAACGCATCTGCATTTTGGTTTGTAATAAACGATAGATGTAGATGTCTATGGGACGTAGCAACCACTTACCATCAGATGGACTGTGTGCTCTTTTGTCACCCTTATCCTATAAAAACAAAATCTCATATATCAGTGGTTATAACCAAGATAACTTTCTATGGTTGTTAACGCCTATAGAAAAATTTATGAGAATGATACGTCTGAACGTTAAGTCACGTGTCTTTTGCTTTGATTTTACATATTTAACAATGTTTTTATTAACTTGCTTTCGTGTTTATCCGTCCGGGTTGAAATACGTAATTATTTTAAACTAAATTCCCGATTTAAGCTAGAGACTTGAATTTTGAACTTAGCTAACTTAGAATCGGATAACAATGTAAGAATGTGTAAAACGTGGTATATACAATTTTTTTTAATTTTAATTTTTATAGTTTTCTATAAAGTTATCTCAGCATGATCCCCTTTTTGTTGTTAAAGATCGAAGTTTTTTCCAAGTTAAAGGCCTAAGTTATTGAACAAAGAGACCACCTTTCATAAAATACAAACTCTTGTATAAAAGTAAAATAACGGTAATGAAGTGAAATGGGTATTTTTGGTTTTTACTGGAAATCAGCGTTGTGATGTTACCACAGCTCATACTGAGTAATTAACCTTTTTTGTCTCGTCTTCTACGTTTTGTCTTGCCAAAAGAAAAATTTGTGTGTGCCAATAAAGTGTTTCTCCATTTCTATCCTTCTTTCTATCAAATAGTTATAAATGAAATAATTTTTAACCATTATAAGATGACTACTATCCCACGTAATGTTAAGTGGTGTTGTAACTTAAAAGCGGTAAAGACATTATCTTAGCAAAAACTTTTTCAACCTACATTGTAATCGGTTGTGTAAACCGTAACATTTTTTGAAGCATTTAAATAATATTGTTTTTTATTATTTCAGTGGTAGCCGGCGTGTCATCTCTCGGCGGACCTGTATCGGTGGGAGTAGGCAGTTCCCTGCTGCTTGCTTGCGCTTGTGCGGGAGCCCCACCACCACGTACCGTGTGGTATCACAACAATAATATTATCACACACCACCCAAGATTTACTAGGAACCATGACGATAGTCTCCTTATTAACAGTAAGTATCTTCTTCAATATATTTGTGGCGTATTTTTAATGTGGTTCTACTGTCTTATCTTTACTAGCTAGTAATGTCGTTTAGTCAGAATTTCGGTCACGGCGGCCAGTCTCAATAGAGACTAGCCATTTGCGCAGAAAAGGATTATACTGCCTGATTGTTCGTGCAAGCTTAGGTACAATCTCTATTCCCTCACTCTCATATTCCGATGAGACGGTAATCCGACACGAACGGAAGAAGATCAGGCACATGATCAACGGTATTAAGACATGGGGGTAAAAAACCGCAAACTTACCGACTGTTATATAGATTTTATTGTTTGTAAATAATGCAATTAACATTACTTTTAAAATAAATTTATTTATGTTACAGATATTGATCAATCGCTAAGCGGAAATTACACGTGCTTAGCCAAAAACTTGTACGGTTCTGACTCTGTTTCGTACGAAGTTTCTGTATTACCAACACCTGAACCGCCAAGCCTGAGAGTAACATCGCATAAGAATGCACTTCATCTGCAATGGGACCCACCTCGGAAAGTAAATGGGAAAACACAAAAGATATGTAAGTACTTTATTAAGTAGTTATTGTATATATTATTTTTAATGGTTGAAGTTTTATTATTGATTTGGATAAAATAAAACTATTTCTGACGGACTGACTGCGTCACTAATTGACAATTGGGCCAAACTTGATTCGTTGATGAAATGCAGTTTTATAATATGAGCTTTTTTTACCGAACCTTAATTCCATAGATTAGTGATGGGGATTAGAATAATTAGTTTTGGCGTATTGGTTCTGCTCTTACCCAGTGTGATGAGTATAGGCCAATCCTTCAAGTTATCAACGCCAGTTGGCGCCATTCTCGAAGATGCCTTTATTCCTGCATTGAATTAGAAACAACTGATAAAGAAGAAACAAAAGTGCGACATGAATTACATTTTTATGTGGAGGAGCTAAGTGCTTCCTATTAATTTCTTTGGTATGCGGGTTTGATATATGCCGCCATTTATCACGTAATCGGCGACGAAGGAAATTTGTGTGAAGAACCTGTATGACGTTTTGAGGACATGTAATGCTGCTAATTCGCTGAAGTAATACGGCGGACTCATTGGTAGTCCTTATTATAAAAATGAGAATATACCTGTGCCCAAATGTAACTTTACTGTTTATGTTCCGTAGGTTATAACCTGACTTGGAAAGAAGCAAATGTTTCATGGCAAGACTCGTGGTCTAACAAGGGTACATCCATCCGTGATATGTACGAGTTTACTCTGCAAGGATTGAAGTGTGGCACCAAATATTCCTTGAGAATGACAGCAGCTAACAGTGTCGGATCATCTCTGCCTTCGTACGTTGATGCCACAACTTTAGGAGGAGGTATAAAGATTTCTTTCTTTCTTTCTTTATAGCCTATCAAAAGTCTACAACTGACTACCAAAGGGCGCCCTATAAAGTGTTTGCTAGTACAAAATTGTCACTCTTACATTTGATCTAGCTTGATATATAAAATAGAACTCTCCTTTTTATTTTTATTTTATAGGGTAAGGTTCACGAACGAGCACACAGTCCACCTGACGGTAAGTGGTTCTCATAGACATCTACACCTATCCTCGATTACAAATCAAAATGCAGATGCCCTGTCACCCGTGAGGACTAAGATGGAACGCCTCATTTCTCTCCTCGGGTTAGGGTCTCCGGTTCTCTACACTTAGTATACGAAACACAGCAGCTTTAACCTGCTATTTTACGCTGGTATTCTTTAAGTCGCAAACGTTGTGGCTAATATTTTGTTCCTTCTGCGTTATAATAATTTGCGACAATGATTATGATTCTATTAAGAATACGTTTCAACCAATATTGTAATGAAATATTTTTTTTATCCAAACTAGTACTGGCCACACAATTGTAGCAATTATAACTACAAAAAACCTGTTAACCTTTATCTCCATCATGATCAGCAACAGTAACATAATCAGTCCTTGTCCTATATAGGCCTGAGCCCAATGACACTGAAAAAGGCTTCTTTAGTAGCACCCGCCATGCCACCTAAACGTCTCGAATCGAAATCACACTACAGCTATGTGCATTTCAGATTTGTTTGTTGAAATTAACATAAACACTCACACCTATCACCCAGATGGGTGGGCAGAGACTATGGACTTCAATTTGGCATGATCCTCACATACCTCTCTCGCTTCCTCCACATCCATATACCTAAGCATACAGGCTCGTCGGTGAAATTAATCAATATATAAATATATCTCATTCACAGTACCAATAGCACCGACAACAACAGAATGGTTTTGGAGTAATGCAAGCCACATTTACATTCAACTGAGCGGATGGGATGACAATGGATGCGAAATAACTAAATGGGAAGTTGATTACAAGGAATATGGCGGCAAATTATGGAGAAAAGCAGAGAATAAGCTGGTATTTACAAAAATTCAAACATCTTCTTATCCTTCGTTGTCTGCCCGTAAAAGTCTGGACATAAGCCTCGCTCGCAATAAAAGTAAAGTCTATATACGTCCCACTGCTGTGCACAGGCCTCCTCTGATTTGTGAGAGAACTTTAGGGCAAATAAATGTCCGCCGCGCTGCCCTAATGCGTGTTGGCGGACTTCACATGAATTCGAAATATTGTTTTTCTTATGTCCTACATATCGTTTCCTAACGATGTTTTTCCTTCACCGCCGAGTACGTAGTAAACTAGCATTAAAATTGCAATTAACAATTTCATTGATAGGACGAAAGCGAATCCGGGTTCAGTAAAAAAAAAAATTAAAAATCTTTATTTTCGCTCCAGTAATACTTAAAATTAAATAATTTGTTGTAACACTCCTTTTAAGTTAGGAAACTTGTGTTATGAGGCTCCGCTCTTCCCGTATTTCATTTATATAAATTAGTGTTTAGAATTTGGGTAACACATAGATTTTGGCTTATAGTAAAACTTATATTATATAGTATTTTTACAATAAAATATCTGTAGGTCGTAGTTGTGTGAAGGTATGGTGTACGTGTATGTGCATGTTGAGGTGTGGTATATTTAGTAAATTATTAATTATGAATAACAAGTTAAGTAACTTTTTCTAAAAGTGTTTTGGTTTTGTTGTAATTTAAAGTTTTCAACCATTCTATTGTTTTCTGTTTAACTTCTATGCTATGTAATGGATATATGCTTAATATTTTATGTATTTGATTATATAAGTATACTACCCTTTTCTCAAACTGTAATGACGCAAATGTCATTTTACAGCGATCGGTATATAGAAGTATGTCATTTCTTCTTTTGTTTTTCGTATTATATTCATACCTGGTAGATTTATGAATTTTAAGCAATAAGAAAAAAATATGTAACTTTCGAACTGACAAGACACCAGACAAATTATAAGGTTCAGTAGTCGGGAATCGGTATGGTTTGAAATAGCAGGCCTTAAGCTTTATCTCAAGGAATCTTGTTTTTAAAGTTCCTCCCCAAACTGGGATACAATAAGTGAGAACAGATTGAGCCAGTGCTGTATGTACTTTGCTCAGTAATTCGAGGGTTGTTATATGTCTTAACTTTTTGAAAATCCACATTAATTTTCTTATGCGGCTAGTTATTATTTCAATATGGTTATATCAAGACAGTCTCTGGTACATAAAAACACCAAAATATTTTGTTTTGTCTACTCTATTAATAACATCACAGTCACAGCTAGAAAGTAGGCTGTATTGGCAAGTGTGTATTTTAATGCTGAAGTTGGCTGATGGTTGAGTGGAATTGTACATAGCGAAACAAGTGTAAGTTGTTTTATGAGTGTTTAATGAGAGTAGGTTGTTATTTAAGGCTGCTTTAGTTTTAAGTCCCGATTCTGCACGTGTTTTCACTTCCTCCCAAGTATCTTTCGAAAAAGTAACAGCTGACGCATAGGAGAAGATGTGACCGTGAGAGAAAGTTTGCACAGCTCGTAAATATAGACCAAAAACAGCGTAGACCCTAAGACGCCACCTTGAGGGTCGCCGAAAATAACATTTACTTCGTCATTGAACACAGAGTCTACATGAACACACTGAGTGCGCTCATGTATGTAGCTGAACATCAGGCTTAGAGAAGTATCCCTAAAGCCCTAAAGCTCCAAAAACTCTAAAAAGTCAGGAATAGAGACTATTTCAAAAGCCTTTCGCAGATCTAAAAATTCTGTAATACACTTTTTGCCATTATCTAAATTCTTTACGATTAAAGAGCATAATGGGAGAACAGTGTCTTCTGTGGAAAGTTGCTTTTAAAGCCAAATTGTGGACTTGATAAGATATTACATTTATATAAGTAGTTCAATATCCTAGTATTTAAGATTTTCTCTACAATTTTGGACAAAGCTGGTAGGAATGATAGGTTATTTATATCGTCTCTGCTTCCACTTTTATATACAGTGTTGATAATGATTGTTTAAGTGCGTTAGGAAATACACCGCTCGTATAACAGAGATTTATAAGGTATATGAACACGGACACAAACAAATCATTTCCCAACTTCAAAAGACCATTTGGAATTTTATCCCACCCTGGAGCTATCAGAATAAAGACTAATCAACACCTGCTCAAATTCAGCATTATCTGTTTCGAGCAAAACAAAAGATTTTAGGAGTGCAGTACTAGAAGTGGATTTAGGAATCGAGCTGTACAACATCTTAGTCTTAGTTAGTTGGAACTTCTGTCAGCCATCTCTTCCATCTCTGCACAGAGAGGACGACTCACTGGCCCATGCCGCAAAAGAGAAATCCGATCTGTTGTGCTCTCTTTTTGCGTCTAACTCGAGATGACGGAGGGAATACACCGCCGACCATCCCGCGATTTACACAGCGCTCTGTTCGCAAAACACTCTTCTCCCTGGACGTCAGCAAGTCGAGTGGGCCCGATGGAGTCCCTCCCATTGTGCTGAAGACGTGTGCTCCGGAGTTGGCACCGGTTTTAACGCGTCTTTTCCGGTACTCCTATTCCCAAGGCGTAGTCCCGAATTCATGGAAGACAGCTTTGGTCCACCTGATCCCTAAAAGAGGCGACCGCTCAGACCCGTCAAACTACAGGCCTATCGCCATCACCTCCTTGTTCTCCAAAATAATGGAATCCATTATAAACTGCCAGCCCATGAGGTACCTTGAGGATCACCAGCTGATCAGTGACGCCAGTACGGTTTTCGTTGGGGTCGATCAGCAGGTGATCTTCTAGTTTACTTAACTCACAAATGGGCGCAGGCAGTAGAGTCTAAGGGCGAGGCATTGGCCGTAAGTTTGGACATAGCGAAGGCCTTCGATCGGGTCTGGCACAAGTCGCTTCTTTCGAAGCTTCCTTCCTATTGGCTTCCCGAGAAATAGTGCAAATGGATCACCAGTTTCCTTGTTGATCGGAGCATTAAGGTCGTAGTAGACGGTGCATGCTCTGATTTCAAGCCTATCAACGCTGGTGTTCCACAAGGCTGCGAGCTATCACCAACGCTGTTTCTCCTGCATATCAATGATATGTTGCTAACTGGTAACATTCATTGCTTTGCAGACGACAGCACTGGGGATGCCTTATATACCGGCCGTGCCAATATTTCTCGGGAAAACGTCCCCGAGTACCGGGACAAACTTGTGTCTGAAGTCGAGTCTTTGCTTAAGAAAGTCTCGTGTAGTGTGGTATAGCCCCCACGACTATATATATATATATATATATATATATATATATATATATATATATATATTATATATATTAGTCGTGGGGGCTATACCACACTACACTCGGATTGGGTAACAGTGGTAGAACCACGCGGCAGCTTTTGCTGTCGCACGGATGGGCCGGCTCGAACCGGGGTGGTACCACGACCTCACAGAAAACCAGCGTGAAGTAGAGGTTTACCTCTGCATTTCGCTCGGTGAGTGCAGGTGGCCGGAGGCCCTTTTTACTGGAAATGAGGCATTCCATCTTAGTCCTCACGTGTGATAACGCATCTATATTTTGATTTGTAATAGAGGATAGATGTAGATGTCTATGGGATGCAGCAACCACTTACCATCAGGTGGACTGTGTGCTCGTTTGTCACCCTTATCCTAAAAAAAAAGACTAAATCTAGTCCAGTTCAATCCCCAGAAGACACAAGTTTGCGCGTTTACCGCTAAAAAGAACCCCTTTGTCGTATCTCCTCAGTTTCAAGGCACTCCCCTTGCTGCCTCAGTGAGTATCGGAATCCTTGGCGTCAACATATCGAACAGCGTGCAGTTTCGTGGTCACTTGGAAGGGAAGGCCAAATTGGCCTCTAAAAAGCTTGGCGTGCTCAACAGAGCGAGACAGTATTTCATGCCGGCACATCGCATGCAACTTTACAAAGCGCAAGTTCGGCCCCACATGGAATACAGTTCTCATCTCTGGGCCAGGGCCCCCAGTACCAGCATCTTCCACTTGACCGCATCCAGTGCAAAGCGATTCGAATCGTCGACGACCGAGTTCTTTCTGATCGGCTCGATACACTGGCACTGCGAAGAGATGTTGCATCTCTTTGCGTATTTTATCGCATCTATCACGGGGAGTGCTCTGAGGAATTGTTCGGACTAATTCCAGCCGCTCAATTTCACCATCGCACATCGCGACAAAACTCGCGTTACCATCCACAGCATCTGGATGATTGGCGGTCCACCATTGTGCGATTTAGAAGAAGTTTTCTCCCTCGCACAATTTCTTTGTGGAATCAATTACCACCAGCGAATTTTCCGGACCGATATGACTTAGGAACCTTCAAGAAAAGAGCTTACACCTTTATAAAAGGCCGGCAACGCATCTGCAATTCCCCTGGTGTTGCGGTTTTTCATGGGCGGCGATAGTCACTTACCATCGGGTGAGCCGCATGCTCGTTTGCCCCCTATTCTATATAAAAAAATAGTCTTAATTCCTTCAGCTAGGCAACTACCTATTCCGGATAAATACTTATTAATATAATTAACTGAATGCTGGGGTACAGGTTTTATATTTAATAAACACGATTTTGAAACCTTCTTGTTTTTGAATTAATTAACTTCATTTATATTTTTATCATATTTCCGGGTTGCTCACGTACTGTGAAATTTAACACTTAGATACCACGGCTCGCAAAAAGACAAAAATGACAATCCCCCCGCAGATGTATTGCATCTTTGACGCTGCTGCTCATCGCTGGTTTGGGTGATCATCTGGCACAAGTATGATTGATAACAAAATCAGGCATTTTCCATAGTCGCCTCTTACGACACCGACGGAACGAAATTATCTAGATACGTATAACTAAGATTGAAATTAAAAGTGTCTGTCTATAATATCGAAGTAACCGCCTAATATTGAGATAAGTACAAAGAAGAAAGACATAAATAACCATGTTTTTAGTTTTTGTCTGTTTGTCTATCTGTCGTTTACTTTTTTTAGATAAAACGTTAACCTAGCTAGGATTTTTCCTGTATCGTGGGGGTAGTTTACAAAAATAAATTGCACAAAGACGAACATCCAAATTCAGAACAATTATTTGTAGACCAAATAAATACTTGTTTCGTGTGGGATAAACTCGCGGCCCCCAGCGCTGCAACTTATTGCTAAGCCACTGCGCCACGGAGCCGTCTGTCTGTCTGGCTGTCTATTCATCTAACTGGTTGAAGCAATTGTAATGAAACTTCACGAACAGATAAATAGAATAGCCTGGAATGATCGAAGCTATATTTTATCTGAAAAACATTACGATATTTTAGATATGTTTTAGATATTTTTGAAAAAAAAAAAACGAAGAATTTATAAAAGAAACGGTCTTTGATGATCTTAAATCTAGATTGCACCACATTGGTAGATCCTACCTAGATGATTCCAGGGCGGGTTGCTAATTAAACATATTTCTTAAGAAATTAAACTTCTTGTCTCTTGTTATTTCTAATAATAATAAATATAATTTTGTTTTAAATGACTTCAAACAAGCAGGAGGCTCTCAATTAGACTGTAAGTTTTTTTCTCTTTTCAGCCACAAATAGACCAGGCATGGAATCGCTACATCGCAGCGTCAATATTGAATCAACCAAACACATTCGTTATTGCCGATCTATCGCCCGCGCAATGGTATCAAATCAGAATCGTTGCAGAAAATGCAGCTGGAATTGCGACATCACTTTATACATATGCTACAACTACTATTTTGGGAGGTAATAATGAGTCAATGAGCAATGATTAACTTACAAAATTGTTGAAAGAAAACTTATGGCCTAAATACGTCCCACTGCTTTGCATGGGCCGGTGATTTTTGGAGCAATTATTCCGCCCCGTTGCTTCAGAGCGTCTTAACAGATATCACATTTCCTTAAATATTTTATATCGCAGACATGCAGGTTTTCTGACGATGTTTTCTTTCACGCACAAAGCAAATCGGCATATAAAATACCATTAACAATTTCATTAGCGTCAACATATAGCTTTGGTGATCGAAAGCTAGTACTATAAAAGATATTTTGTAATTTCGTTAAATATTAACAACCTCTTTCTTTGAACTCTGTTTTAATCTTTGGTGTATTAATAAAATATAAATTTTCAGAATCAATCGGTCCTCCGTCCGACTTCATCGACCTCAATATGTTAGTTATAATTTGCAGTTCCATTCTTTTGATGTTATGCTCGCTGGCATGTGTTTACATTTTGGTTAAAAAGCATAAGTAAGTACTTCAGAATCAGCTACTTATCTTTTAATTCGTCTGTTCGGTTTTGATATAAAATATATGAAAGCCGTTCTTAACACATTTTAAACACATTTTTTACATATTTTTTATTAATTAATGGTTTTGTTTATACGTAAACAAACAAACTATTTTACTGTTACGGTGAATATGGCTCTCAAATGGACTTGTCTCATTAATATCAGCCGTTATATCTTAATATTTTTCAGTCACCAAAGGCTAACTGAGTACCGTAACTCCCTGACAGCGGAATGCAAATCGGAACGTAGTAATGCAACAGTTAATACGCCACAAAGTGTGCCAAATGATGTCAATAACCGAGTGTACAGTACACCTGTGCACCTGACTGCAGAAAATAAGCACGGTTAGTTTTCACTTTTATCTTCTAATTTATTTATAAAAGATATCAACAAGCTCTCGTACATTTATGTGATATAGGTTTATTAGATTATTTTATATACGACTCGTATTACGCCAAGAATGCTAACTATACCACTATACGAACGTTAAATATACCACTTTTTTTGGCACTGGACTTAATAATTGATATCAGAAAGTGTTAAGGACGTACCCTACATTTTAAGTCTTACGAAGCGAGTATAAACCAGCGACCTTTATATATTATCTAAATACACAAACAATATTAATGCATTTTGTTTGAGTATTGAGATAATTTTCACAAGTTCACTATTAAACATAGGTGTCACAAAGCATGGTCCTGTGCCACCAGCTTCAATAAACTTTTGTCATCTTCTTTTGCTTCAATTGAATTGACATCTATTTCTTCTAGTATAGGAATACAATAGACTAATATTTTCTTGATGGTCACTGAACACTGAGCTTATTAATATGCAGCTGGAACTCAAGAAGTCACTCTTACTGTGGTTGAGTTATTGGAGCTCTATGGCCGAACTGTTGCTATTTCAGCTTACTGATCCTTTGAGCTATAAAAGATTTCAGCTACATTATTTTATATTTATTGATTTTTAACCTGGTATATTATCTGCAATGAATCAAAACGTGTCTATTTGAATTAAAATATATATTACTTGAAGCTTGAATAAATTTAACGGGATGATATGGAGTAGTAGATATTCTTACACCGCCACTACACTGTAGATTTTACAGATATTGTGATTTATTATAACCGACACCATGGCTTCTGCAGTATAAATATTTGTAATCTCCAAAAACAATTATATTTCAGAGCTTTACGAAATAAGCCCATACGCACAGTTTGCGATCGGATTCCGCACGTTTGGACACGTTGATAATCAAGAGATACCAAGTAGAATCCACATACCTGGTAATAGCAAGTCTAGATATGACAGTGGTGAGTCGAAACTATTTTCACTTATCAGTTGCTCACTCAAACAATCTGTTTCTCCTGTCTCTTGTTTTTAGTCTGTTAATAATAATGCGAGTTTCTAGGACTTTTGATACAATAAGAGTGACAAGCGAACAAATAGAATAGAATAGAATAGAATAGAAAAAACATTTATTCAGCACAGGCAGTTCATACACATGAAAGTAAAAGCACATATTGATATATATAAAAAAGGTCACATTGTGCCGAAAAGGGGTTGGCTCAGCATGTGTTGTGTGAGTATGGCCTCACACAGCGCTGATTTTCAGACAAGAAACCTATTCATTGGCGTCACGAACGTAGCACAGCTGTTACGTGTAGTTTAGTCCTTCGATAAAACGAAAAAAGCCTAAACCTTCTATATAATTATAGCACAAAATTTAAAATAAAGCAAAAAGCAGCAAAAAAAAAGTACAATATAAGACATTAAATATAACCTTATACATAATTGTGTGTGGTAACAACAACTATCAATTATCAATTAAAATGGATTAGTAATAATGATAATAAACAAAAATGAGAAAAATATACAGACAATTTTGTTAATAACCGTACAATGCGTTATAGGAAGGAGCTTTCTCGTTTGATATTGCCATGTTGTATTTGTGCATCAATAAGAAATTTTTTTAGCTTGATTTTGAACTAGTGGAGATTTTTTAAACTCCTGATTGGAGGTGGAATATTATTCCAACATTTTGTAGCCGCATATCTAAAACTACCCCTGAAAGCTGCTGTTCTGTGACGCTGCACAGATAATTGTTGAGAACACAGTCTGTTGTTACCTTGTCTATTTCGCGCGACCAAAGCTAGTTTGTCGTGTAAGTATGGTGGATTTTTATACTTCACGACACCAAAGAGAAGGCATGCCAGGTGGAGTTTGCGTCTAGATTTCATCTTCAATACGTAATGTTTATTAAGAAACGGTGTTAAATGACTACGCGTAGGAATTTTATAACAAAACCTAGCACAGGCGTTTTGAACCCTTTGTACTAGTCGCTGTGTACGAGCTAGCAGTCTGGGCCCATATACAGTGTCTGCATAGTTCAGCTTCGAGAGCACGAGCGTTTCTACTAGCTGTTCACGTAGTTCGACACTGAGGTACGGTCTAATTTTGTAGAGTGTCTTCAATCTGTAAAAACAAGCTCGCACGCAATCTGCCACATGATTCTCGAATCGCAACCCTGCATCCATGTTCAGACCCAGATTCCGAGCTTCGTACACGCGCTCAATTGATATGCCAAGAAGCATTGGAGCTAGTGCAGTCGACTGGGTTTGAATTGTATTTAGTCCTTTTTTGTGGCCTATCAACAAGTACTTAGTTTTAGCCGGATTAAGGACAAGACTATTGTTCTCAGCCCATGTGGCGATTCGCTGTAAATCCTCATTTAATTCTATTATGGCTGTGTTCATGTTTTCCGCTTTAAAAGATATATAAACTTGAATATCATCAGCATAGATGTGGAATTTGCATTTCCATATATGTTTAGTAATATCCGCAGAGTATAGGATGAATAATATTGGGCCTAGAATTGATCCTTGTGGTACTCCCCTGTTAATCGTCGCAAGCTTTGAGCGTGTCGGTGAGCCGTCAGGTTTTTTTAATTCAACAACCTGTAATCTGTTAGTGAGATAACTGCTAAACCATTTAACCGTTTTAATGTCAAATCCATAGTAGCTTAATTTTGATAAAAGCAGAGAAATATTAATTGATTCAAATGCTCGTGAGAAATCTAATAATACAAGTAACGTGCACAATCCCTGATCCCGTGCTTGTAGAATATTGTCTGTTACATCTAGTAAAGCGGATACAGTTCCTCGACCTTTTCTGAACCCAGATTGTGTCTGTGGCAATATGTCGTGTCTTTCGATGTAATCTGTTATCTGGCGGCATACAATTTTTTCTATAACCTTGGAAAGACACGGCAAAATGCTTATAGGTCTTAAATCCTTGATATCTAATGGATTACTATTTTTTAGGAATTGGTCGAACTACAGCTATCTTCCATAGTTCAGGAAACTGAGAAGTCGCGAAAGATGTATTTATTAAGGCTGTAATAACATCCAATGTGTCAGAGCATGTTAAAAGCAGCATATTCAGTGTTATTTCGTCGTATCCTTGAGCATTGGAATGTAAACTCTTGATTACCTTAAAGACGGCTTCTGCACTAGTTGGTTCTAAGCTAAAACTGTTTTGACAATATTTATTAAATTCAAAGTAAATTAATTGAGACAGATTAACCTTTGAACTACCGGGAATATTTAGGAAATGGTCGTTAATTTTTTCAGCGTCAGTGAAATGTAAGGGCAGCTCTTTAGGTTTTTTCAAAGGTAATATAATAGATTTAAGATTTTTCCATAGATGTTTTGGTCGACTTTTTTGGCTATTGATATTATTATTAAAGTAAGCAACTTTTTCGAAATATATTGTCTTATTTACTAATGAATTTAAAGTTTTAAAATATTCCTTTTTTGTAACGTCTTTAGTTTTACGGAAATCAGACAAGGCTTTATTTTTTAAAGATATCATGAACTTCAGGTTAGGTGTCATTCATGGGTAGGGTCGAGATTTGAATACGCATTTCTTATACGGTGCATGAGTATCAAAGACACAGAGGACAGATCTGTTAAATGTATTTAGAATATGATTTACGTCAGGTAATTGTGCTATTAAGTCCCAACGAATAGAATTCAGATCTTTTTTTAAATTATCATAGTAAATGTCTTTTATTGGCCGCATATAAATACATTTGTGGGTTGGTTTATCTCGGTATACGTCGAACTCGCAAAACACCATAGCATGCCCATGTAGTGTCCCTGTTGCCTCCATGGTGACATCATGACGTGCGCTCAGGTCTGTACAGATAATGTCGATCAGGGATGAGCTTAACTCGGTAAAATGTGTTGTCAAATACGAAACAGTACACCTGATGGCTGGTTATTGTTGTGAGGTGGTTATTGTTGCACATAGAAATCTACACTTGTTCTTGATTATGAATCAAATCCAGATCCTTGGCAACCCTTGAAGCCTGAGATAAAATTCCTCATTTTTTATTATACAATTAGGATGATAAACGACCACACTCGATAATGTAGATGCGTTATCACCCCTGAGGACTAAGATAGAATGCCTGGTTACTCTCTTCTCCGGTTCTCTCCAATTTCCATATTAAACACAGCAGAATTAAGCTGCTATTTCATGCCAATATTCTGTGAAAGGGTGGTCCAACCCCAGTTAAGCTGGTATAGAGTTATAGGTGGCCAGAAACAGGTGCAGTTTTGCTCTACTTGTATAATGATACGCATTCCTAAACTAATTTTCAATAAAGTGTGTAGCTTTTAATCTTTAGATTATTTTGTCACTGAAACAGGATCTATTAAGAAATGAAAATTGTTCTTTACTCGTTTACAGAAACAAGCTTTCAAATGAGATCAGAATCCGAAGAAAGTGACTGTGTTTCGCGAACTACAACTTTGAAAAGTATTCCAAGAAGTATGTTCTCTTTTTCTCTTTTCTTTACTTTTTTTTCTTTTTTTATTAACGTTACCCCCACAATAGGACTTTCTCCTGTGTCGTGGAGGCAGTTTACAAACATAAATCGCACGAGGACAAACATCCAGACCCGGAACAGTTATTTATAGGCCACACAAATACTTGTTCCGTGCGGGATTCGAACCCACGGCCCCCAGCGCAACAACTCATTGCTAAGCCACTGCGCCACGGAGCCATATTACTAAAGCCAATATTAATAAAGCCATAATTATATAATAATAAATTTCTATATTAAAATAATGTATTTTAATTTGATTTTATAATTTCAGAAGCCTGCAGAATACCACATCACAGGTAGCTGAAGAGACTGGCGTTCAAGTTAGCTAAAATAACTTTATGGAATATATTTTGATTTAATATTGCCTCACTATTTTTAAATCTTATAAAATATTGTATTCTTAAATGATTTTCTTGTATAATTTTTATAATTTATCTGAAAGTATATTACTTCTTGTTTTCAGTGGTTGTGATTTACTACTAAGTTATATTTTGATTTTATTGACGACGATCTTTATAACTAAGAGAAGCTATTTCAAGCAATAAGGTACAGATACGTTTATATCTTAATATATTTATTTAAATATTGGTATAGTATAAATTTTTATTAACCACGTTTTTATTATGTCACTTTCTTATATGACTGTTTGTCTGTCTGTCTGTCCATCTATCGTTCAGAGTGGAATTTAGTTATTGATTTTAAACTAACTTCCCGATGAGTTGATAACTTGAAATTTTGAATAAAGCTTAAATTCCTATGACAATGTGAGAATATGACTAAACAAACGTGGTTCATTAACATTTTTTAATACAACATTTTGAAAAAAAAAATCACTTGTTCATATCATTTTTAAATGATATAGAAATAAAGTAGACTAATAAATACTGCCATAAAATACTAAAGTAGGTTTCATTGTCCGGTCAAAGAAGCAACATACACTTTTTTATTTATAATAATCTTAGTACTTTATTTTATTCTTATCGATGTAAACGCAATTTTAAAAAAGAATCGAAACGATTGTAATTATAGCTTCTGCAATTATTATATAAAGTAGAGAAAATGTTTATTATAATGATTATCTTCAAAAGACTGATTATTTAACATTTAATTTTATATCATTCAATTGTGTAAATCCTCGATTTACTCGTACTAGATATACAAAAAATCTTTGAGAAATAAATAAATGTTAGAATATGACTTACGAGAGTGTTATTTCTCAATATGATTTATAATGTAACTAGCCCAATGGTTATATGATTAATTAAAATGTCTGATTGGGTAAAAAAAATGCTGAAAAGAGAAGAAATTTATACACTATATCACTTCCGACACTAAGGCGAATTTAACGATACCCCATATGCAGGGTGCTCGTATACCTCTTCGGATTTCAACACTACGACTTAGCAATCGCGTACAAATATTACAATGGGCAAAGAAACATTTTGCTTGGATACCCCATATGAAAGTGTATCAAGCTGTTTAGGCTACAGAGCGTGCCACAGAAATAGACATACATACATAATGCATGCACCGCAAACATATTACCCAGAGGGTGGGTACTTTAAACAAACGGTGGTAGAGCCACGCAGCGGCTTTTGCTGTTGCACATATGGGCCGGCTCGAGCCTGGTTAGTACCACGACCTCACAGAATACGGGCGTAAAGTGGAAGCTCTGCTTCCGTGTTTCGTCTGGTGAGTGCAGGTGACCGGAGGCCCAATTCCTACCCCCTCCCCCATCAACATGGTAGCGGAATTACATGATTGACTACCCCAGGAACCCTCCAGGGGTGCTGGTACCCACCAGCACCCCTGGAGAATCCCTCGCTGAGCATCCACGACCATGCTATTCCACTTCTGAGCGTGGGTGCTCAGGCTGCCCCGCGTATTCTGTGGGGGGGGGGGGGCAAAATTCCGCTCAATACAATAACTCTTAGGGGTACCCTGCCACGCTATCCGTGAATTTCTGCAACATCAGGGGAATTCACTTGAACCTAAACGCCGGCCACTACCATCTCGAGATGGCGAAGCCGGTCTTGCTCTTTCTGACCGAGACGCAGGTGTCCTCTCCGGCTGATACTTCGTATCTCTCCTACTCGGGGTACAAATTGGAGTACTCCTTTGTGCCTCGGGCTGGAGTTTGCGTATACGTCAGAGCGGACATCTGTTCTCGACGCCTCGGTAGTCTTGAAAGTTCGGACCTGTCCATCCTTTGGCTACGCGTAGACAGCGACGACCATCCGTGCGTCTACGGGTGCCTCTATAGGTCCCACAGCGGTAATGCCAAAACAGACCGACTCATCGACCACGTCCAAATGGCTACAGATTCCTTGCTATAACAGGTCCCATCCGCAGAGATCGTGAAACTTGACGATTTTAACGCCCACCACGCCGAATGATTCATAATTCATAATTCATTTATTGCTGGCTCGGTTCACGTTTAACCGATCATGCGGGGAGATCTGTTCACGACTTTGCCTTGGCATATGGTTTGACACAACTGGTTATATCGCCTACGCGGATTCCAGATGTTGAGGATCATACACCTTCCCTGTTGGACCTTCTGCTGACCTCTCATCCGGATGGATATCAGGTTTCCGTCGATGCCCCTCTCGGCTCTTTGGACCATTGTCTGATCCGGAGTGTGGTGCCACTCACGCTCCCCTCGCGGTTGCGTTCTGCAGGTTGCCGCCGTGTTTGGCATTACAGGTCGGCGGATTGGGACGGAATGCGGTTTTTCTTTGCTTCCTACCCATGGGCGGGTTTGCTTCTCGCCGGATGATCCCAGCGCTGTTGCTGACACTGTCACTGATGTGGTGCTACAGGGAATGGAACTATTTATTCCATCATCTATGGTACCCATCGGAGGCAGATCTCAGCCTTGGTTTGGTCGCTCCTATAAAACTGCATTAAGCAGTAAGCAGGAGTGTTATCAAGCTTGGGCTCCGGCTTCGGCGACTCGAGATGTAAACACCAGCATACTTAAAAATAAGTATAGCTTTGCCTTCAGGTCCTTCACAAGAGTTATTGCCAAGGCAAAGTCAGAGCACATAGGCAGAATTGGCGAGAAACTAGTTCGCCTTCCTTCGGAAACTCGTGCATTCTGGTCTATCGCCAAGGCTGTCCAAGGGAATTTCTGTAAGCTATCACTACCATCTCTGCACAGGGAGGACTACTCACTGGCTAAAGACGCAAAAGAGAAAGCCGACCTTTTAGGCTCCCTTTTTGCGTCCAACTCGACTGTTGATGACGGAGGGAACACACCGCTGACCATCCCGCGGTGTGAGTGCTCCATAGCGGATGTGCGGTTATCACAGCGCTCGGTTCGCAAAGCACTCTTCTCCCTGGACATCCACAAGTCGAGTGGGCCTGACAGAATCCCCCCAATTGTGCTGAGGACGTGTGTTCCGGAGCTGGCACCGTTTCTAACGCGTCTTTTCCGGTACTCCTACTCCCTAGGCGTAGTCCCGAAATCATGGAAGACAGCTTTTGTCCACCCGATCCCTAAAAACGGCGACAGCTCAGACCCGTCCAAATACAGGCCTATCGCCATCACCCCCTTGTTCTCCAAAATAATGGGATCCGTTATAAAATGTCACCTCATGCGATACCTTGAGGATCACCAGCTGATTAGTGACCGCCAATACGGTTTTCGTCGGGGTCGATCAGCTGGTGATCTTCTGGTCTACTTAACTCATAGATGGGCGGAGGCAGTAGAGCCCAATAGGGAGGCCTTGGCCGTTAGTTTGGACATTGCGAAGGCCTTCGATCGGGTTTGGCACAAAGCGCTTCTTTCGAAGCTCCCTTCCTATGGGCTTCCCGAGAAATTATGCAATTGGATCACTAGCTTTCTTGCAGATCGGAGCATCAAGGTCGTTGTAGACGGTGCATGCTCCGATTACAAGCCTATTAACGCTGGTGTTCCACAAGGCTATGTGCTATCACCAACGCTTATCGCACGCATATCAACGATATGTTGCAAACCGGTAGCATTCATTGTTATGCGGATGAAAGCACTGGTGATGCTCTATACACCGGCCGTGCCAATATTTCTCGGGAAAACGTCGCCGAGTACCGCAACAAACTTATGTCTGAAGTCGAGTCTTTGCTGGACAAAGTCTCAGATTGGGGGCGACTAAATCTAGTCCAGTTTAATCCTCAGAAGGCACAAGTTTGCGCGTTTACCGCTAAAAAGAACCCCTTTGTCGTATCTCCTCAGTTTCAAGGTACTCCCCTTGTTGCCTCAGCTAGTATCGGAATCCTCGGCGTCGACATATCGTGTGACGTGCAGTTTCATGGGCACTTGGAAGAGAAGGCCAAATTGGCCTCTAAAAAGCTTGGCGTACTCAGCAGAGTGGGACAGTATTTCATGTCGGCACACCGCCTGCAACTTAACAAAGCGCAGGTTCGGCCTCACATAGAATACTCTTCCCATCTCTGGGCAGGGGCTCCCCAGTGCCAGCTCCTTCACCGCATCCAGCGCAGAGCGGCTCAAATCGTCGATGATCGAGTCCGTTCCGATCGGCTCGACTCATTGGCGCTGCGAAAAGATGTTGCATCTCTTTGCACTTTCTTTCGCATTTACCACGGGGAGTGCTCTGAGGAATTGTTCGAATTAATCCCAGCCGCCAAATTTCACGAACGCACATCGCGGCAGAACTCCCGATACCATCCACACCATCTGGATGATTGGCGGTCCAGCACTGTGCGATTTAGAAGATGTTCTCTTTCTCGTGCGACTTCCTTGTGGAATCGATTACCATCAGCGATTTTTCCGGACCGATACGACTTAGGGACCTTCAAGAAAAGAGCCTACTCCTTTTTAAAAGGTCGGCAACGCATCTGCAATTCCCCTGGTGTTGCGGTTGTTCATGGGCGGCGGTAGTCACTTACCATCAGGTGAGCCGCATGCTCGTTTGCCCTTCTCCAATAAAAAAAAATGGTGGTAAATCTTTATGAAACTCATACTCTAAAAAAATTCTCATGTTTCGTGACACATTTTACAATTTATTTGTAGGCCCTACCAATATTTGTTAAACGTGGCGATTGATTTCGTGACACAGCCATGAACTCAAATGCTTAGCCAATTTACTACCTAGATATAAAATTTTTATGTATTTCCGACACTTTAATCTACCTCTATATTATATAGTAGTATTCACCTCCTCACCTTATACCTCCGAAAAAGTTTAAAAATTAAAATAGCAATAAATAAACTTTAAAGTGCCGGAACCATGCTGATTTGCTGGTACTCGAATAGGCTGAGCAACGGCCAGCCTTTTATCTGAAAAGACTGGTAGCCCTCCTCTTATAATACTGTATCGGTATTAAATAAAAATAGACTTAGGTGCTGGTTTCCCATGGTCCTGGAGAATCTCTAAATGGGCATCCATGTCACAAGCTACCCGCCCTTGGTGCGCAGGATACCCCGCCTCACATGTTCAGGAATGAAGGGGAGCGGGGGTAAATATCTGCTCACATTGCTCGGGGCAAACAAAAAATAAAAACGGCGCCCCTTGCCACGCAATTTCTGCAAAATCTGTGGTCTGTAACCTTAACCTTCATACATAAACACTCACGCCTGTCACCCAGAGGGGTAGACAGAGACTACGGACTTCCATTTGGCGCGATCCTGACACACCTCTCTCGCCTCTTTTACATCCATATATCTACGCATACACGCTCGTCGGTTAAGGGTACTCCTAATCTGGCCCATTTTTAATGTATCGCCGATTTGGTCGATAAACCTTCGTCTAGGGCGTCCCTTCCCGACCCTGCCGTTCACTTCCGCAACATAAATTTGCTTTGTCACTCTTTCCTCGTTCATTCTTTCTACATGACCAAACCACCGAAGCATTCCTTTTTTAATCCTTGTCACAACGTCATCTTGCAAACCACACTTTTCTCTTATCACACTATTTCTCACCCTGTCATTCAGATTCAGCCCTAGCATACTCCTTAAGGAACGCATTTCTACAGCATTATTCTACTCTCATGCTCCTTCTGCCAGACCCAACTTTCACTACCATACATTAAAGTAGGGACTAACACAGCATTATGAATTGCCATACCCTTAACCTCTTTAACTCTAACATTAAAGCTGTCTTTTACCATTTGAAGACAATGAAGCCAGCCTTGCTTTTTTGTACTTAGACGAAAGTTGTCTCCTCGGCTGATACCTAGGTACAAATTCCCACC